TCTACCCCTGTACCAAATTGCATTCAAATCCATTTAAATGTTTAAACATAATTATAAAACAAACACACATCGTATCATATCAGCCTTTTAATTGTTTACTGCTAAACATAAGCCTCCCCCTTGGGGGTTTTGCCAGTAGTTGCTACGCTTAGCAGGTGGATTAGCAACCGTAGTTAGAATTGGAGATGTTTTAAGAGGAATGCTGATGCTCATCCCTCGCCCTCTCTTGGTCGTCTCACGACGCCCATAGAATGGAAGAGGTAGTTTATTCTATTAAATTCAAATGCACAAATTTGTAATGTTTCTAAAAATCTTGTTGGAATCTAAAATACTACTATCCTTTAGATAATCTTTTTAATGATTATCGCTTGCTTAGAGCATTGATGGAAGCCTAGAAACATTTGACAAAGGGCAACACTTTTACTCGAGTAGTAGTAGTATGTTGTAAAGCGATGCACTTGCATAGAAATATCACTGCAAAAGAAATATGACGAGAAAAACGACTAAAAAATTTAAGCGCAGAGAGAAAAACAAAATCTTTGTTTTTTGTGTTTCGTTCCAAAATAAATCCATGACTCGTGTCTTGAGAAAAAAAGCATTCAATATAAACAATGCTATAAAAGTTTAATAACGATTTCTATTTCACAGAATATGTAGAATCAAATAATTGTAATACTATAAGTAAATAAGTAGCTACACGAAAGAATAACAATTTAACATCATAAAACAAATCAAACATGAAACAAATCGCGTAGTATCGTGTAACTTTAAGAAGTCAATTTACCCACTGTAATAACACTCTAATAACATCTTATTATTTGTTGACGAAGGTATCAATTATCGACTTACATATTTATGTTACAGCTATTAATTTCATTCAATATACGTATTTACTTATATACAACATTTTTAGGATTTCATAGGAAAGTAGTAATAAAAGAACCCTTATGAGCGACTCATTTGACAGGTATCTACCTACTCCACTAACGTTATAGGTATTTTAACAATAGTTTCGAAACAAATAAATAAAATTTCATTAATTCATCAATAAATTATCATAGAACTATTTATTTAATAATTTTCTCTCTACTTTTCGAGCATGGAAAGCACAAAATTTAATTATGTAGTACATATTATAATATTGTTCGTCTGTTGTCACTCTTCAAACTCACATCTTCAAAGCCCAACAATGCTGAATGTTATGTATTCCATTAAGTGCGGTTGTGAGACCCGGATAGGCAGACTCCGATATTTTATTTGATGATGTGGCTTGGCATAGTTTCGGGATAATGTACTGGAACAACTGGGTGTTCTAAATATATTAACAGCAGCTAATGTTATGTATGTATATATAAATTAGTGTGTACGTTATACAACGATATGTTGACTAAGAGAGAATGCTATATAGCATTAAGTCAGCTTTGTGTACCAAACATTATTTTGTAATGTGATCAATAAATAATAAATAAAAAAAATAAAATAAATGTATTGACATATAAAGTGGAACAGAAATCTGTATCAATATGACTGAACATTTTATTGAAAGCCTAACACTAAATTTATGCCAACTTGTATACATTGTAATTTCGATGTCACAACTGCATAAATGTTAATTTTTTACCTTAAATAGGTCTATCCTCATCTAAATAGACGTATAATAAACTGTTTTTTATACCAAAAATGTAGCAAACAAGCATACGGCCCACTGGTCACTGTAGCCTATATGGACAACTGCAACACGAATTATGTTATAGCTAAATTTATATTTATAAAATTTATGTAAAAAAGTATGTACAAGATTGACAAAAATAGCATTACTGATAGTATTTACGAAAATATTTATTATGAACGGTGGTTCGCTATGAATGATTAGGTTTTTAATATTTTGTTGGTACACAGATTCTACGTGTTTGCTTTGTCTAGTCGATATCTAGTCTATACCTATATTAGTACGTATACATCATAAATTGTAACGATCCGGTAGTGCGTTTTCATATGTATTTAAATAACTTAAAACCAGGTATTATGACATTGCAAGCTCGCCCCGCAAGCTATGCCTCGCAAAGCAGTCCACTGATGTAATTTCGGGTTTTCCTTGCGACACAAATCTTGTTATGTTGAGCATTCGCATCGAGTTGAGAGCGTGGAATACCTCAACCGTAGATTTGTAAGTAGTTAGTTTTTGCTTTTAGTTTTCAGTAAGTATGTGTATTATAAGAGGGTTGTTACTCCTTAGTGTTTAACACAGAGTCACGAGGTTTAAATTTCATATCATTAATTCAGATTTCATTGATCTGAAATGGCAAAGAATAAGACCACAGAATGTAAATATAAAACAGTTTGCCCGTATATTCATATTAACCGATGTGTGATATTTATTTATTGTAGCAACTCGTCCCGAAATCAGTTGAACGCAAATTAAAATATATTTATTACATAAACGTTACGTAGGATAGTTTTTTTTATTGAAATCCAAGTCATTATGCATTGCGTAGTTTAGAAGAAGTAAAAGACAGTCTATATAGCGCCTGTGTTTTATACTCTTTCTTGTACCAATACGAAATATACTATATTGTGTTTAAACTACTTATAATGTGAATAATCATCATAATCATATCAGCCGTTAACTGTCCACTGCTGAGAGGTTTTGCCAGTAGTTGCCACGCTTGACAGACGAATTGGCAACCACAGTGAAGCTTCGGTAATGTTTTAAGAGGGACATTGCTCCCCATCCCTCGGCCATTAAGTTCTCTTAGTCACTTCTTACGACACCCAACGTATGTATCGTCAGAAAAGGAAAAAATTAAGGATGTCTGGTAAAAGTCTATCTTTTTAAAACGAGATAACTATTAAAAAAATATGGCCGTATATATTTTAAATGCCGTTTTGTCTCTATTTTTCGATAATATATACGTAATGTCAAGACCGTGAACAAAAAATATAGAGATCGAGTACTGTATTCTATTTTACAGTACAGAAAAATCCCTGCAATGAATCAAAAATATAATTAAAAAGTACATGACATCTATTATAAGAATGTAAATAAGGCTCCTTTTAAAAGAAAAATCCCTTTATTCGCCCGCGTATCTGAGAAAAATATGTAGGAACTAGCTAATAAAAATAGGACAGCTATTTTCTTTAGACATATTGCCATACTATTCATAGCGTAGCCGAGCGCAAGTGTCCCGACTCGACCTCACATTCTATGCTATCGATGTGAGGATCTTGAAAGATACTGGGACTGACTCTAGAATATTATTCTCTAAAATATCTCAATCATTCATGATTTAAAATATAGGCGACACAGTATCCTCTGTTATGTGCATAGTGCTGTTCATGTCTGTAGACCTCGGTAACCACTTTCCACAAAGTGCCCACTTTGTGAATCCATCCTGCATAAGTAATATAGCAAATAAGCTGATGGGCATCAGGATTCTGAGTTACATAAGAAAAAGTATAGAAAAAAAATTTAATCATACTCTTTTATGAGATAATACAGGTTACAGAGTAGCATTTACAGACTAACATGTTAGTTGCCAACCCGCCTGCCAAGCGTGGCAACTACTTGCAAAACTCCCCTTACGTTCAGCAATGGACAGTTAACGGCTGAGATAATAATAATAAATATTAGAATTAATTTGACTTAAACCGCCTCTGAAATATCTCAAATTCTATATCACACTATTAGATGTCACTCAGTATTAAACAACCGACCATTTTTAACCGACTAATATCTGAAACATTATATATCTTATTTAGAAGTATCAAGCATTTCACCAAACAAAAGTATTTTATTCCACAAGGAAGTGATGTCTGTCATGAATTCACACACACATCAAGTATATGTGAATTTAATAAGACAATACTACAGATAATATAATAATTTAATACACTAAGAACGATACTGATATTTCATAGATTCTTCAGATTTAAAATATCATAATTTAGAATGTATTAGAATAGCCCTACCGTTGCCCGTATGCAGAAGGTTCAAGTTACTCAATGACTATGGAGAGGGCTATACTCGAAGTTTCTTTGCGTGACAGAATCCGAAATGAGGATATCCGCAAAAAAAAACCAAAGTCACCGACATAGTCTTAAGAATAAGCAAGCTGAAGCAGCAATGGGCTGGTCACATAGCTCGAAGAACCGATAACCGATGGGGAAGACAGTTTTGTAATGGCGACCCCGTGCGGGCAAACACAGTGTAGGATGACCCCCAAATATATTAAAAATCTGTTATCCAATATTATTTATAGGGTAACAGATTTTGTCATTTTTGTTATTGGGTCAGTATATAAATACTGTAACTAAAATATAAATAGACATTGCTATATATTACCCACTCCTATTCAGAACCTTCTACTTTTGGGATTCGCTTAAAAATCTGAAAAATTCGGCGGAATTTCACAAAACAATTTTCATTAGACAAAACAACACATTACACATCATAACATAAAGGGTTAAGCTTTACTTTTATTGTGAGCCGTAGCGCCGTTCCCTCCATTTGGCATCGAATTAAACCGTAATAGGTATACATTCCGGGCACGTTGTCGGCCCATGAGAAGATTCCTGTGACGTTGGATAGCTTCACAATCTCCTTGTCACCATTATACAAGCCTTTGAATACAAACGTTGTTCGATTACTCTTAAATATTTGTACTAGAAGTTTTTTTAGGATCAACGCGAACTTACGAGTGGCATAAAAAGATTTTACCCTTAAAAAAGTCAGTTGCTGCAAAAATATCAACATGCTTGTAAAATTTAACATTCTAGCGGAAAAATCTGGCAATGTGTGAGATTTTTTTTGTATAAATCTGAATACACTATTGTTATTTATGTTATAAATCTGTTTCACAGATTGAGAACTTATGACCGGCAGGATTCACGCTTGACTAAATATGTAAGAAGCTTTACAATTTATTCAATTAAGGAATTAACTGGCACGCACTATTTGGATGCATATAAAAGTATTCCTGCAACGTTATAATCACAAGTGAGAAGCGACAGTTATTTGTCGGACTACTCACTTCGTCACAGTTCACTTATAAAATTGTATTTTAATATCCATTTTCATAAAGTAATCAATGATAGAAATAGATTTTGAAATCAAATTCTTGTAGTCTTTCAATTCGAACGCCATTTTGTAGGCTTATCGCACAAAATGGCGAATAATTCGGATGAGGAAATCCGGCCCATGGCTTATCCTTTGAAAATGTTGGTGTCTTTTTACGTACCGATTTTATATAATGACGAAATACACTGTTGCGTCTCCTACTGAGAATATTTTATTTATTGCAGGATATCAAAAGAAGTAGTAGAACATATGCTCGGCTGGAATATTCCAGAAGAACATCAGGATCTAGTGCATGAACATTGGCGCAGTTTCCCAGCAGTCAGCAAGTACTGGCATTACTGTCTTGCACTTATTTACATGATGCTGATGATAACTTCGCTAACTGGCAACGGTATCGTCATTTGGATCTTTGGCACGTGAGTAACTACCCTAGGTTTTCCCCCATGCGCGAACATGTTTAACTATCCAAAAACATTATTATATAATTACTCGTATGTTGCATATACTTTTATTTGGAAAATTAAAGTACCTAATACCAGTAACAAAGTTAGTGTAGTTATGATTTCAGAGTTCGTAAAAAGTCAAAGATGTTTCATTTTGTGTCTAAAATTTTACGTAAAATACATTGTGTGTACAAGTATAACTTTTTCACAAATTTTTGCTCTATGTTATGCTCTACGTTATAGACAATTTCCCCTATAAAATAAACTGTGTTATATAAAATACTGATCGAAAATTCAAGGAAAAAAAAACTAAATAGAAAAAGAAAAGGAAAAAGAATCCTCTTTATATTTAAAAGAAAAAACGTTTACGCAACATTTTGTTAATAACGTTGCCATTATAGGTAAGTATAAAGGAAACGACGCCCAAATCCTTCAAGAAAAATCTAAAGAAACCACTTCCGAGGGCCGCGCTCGGTCCAGGGTTAATAATGTGGAACAATTTGACGATAGGATCGAGTGCTGTTGACTGCCGTCACTCGCGGTGATTTAATTAAGTTTCTAAGCGAACTCAGACGCGACGGCTTGAGTGCCGGCCGACGAACAAGGAAACGCTGAGTACCAAACTTGGTTACATCAAATTATTTTAAACCTTTAAAATTAGAGTCCAATTTTCAAAAGGAATAGAATAGTAACACTGTGTGCGCTATCGATACGCGCTGTTTGGGCATCAGTTAGGGATGATAGGCGTTAACGAAATCAGATCTGTTGACGAATTCACAGGAAATAACCACAACAGTTTGTAAGAGAGTCCACGTTGAGGTTGACCTGATTTATTTCTCGCAAGGTGCATTGCTAACAGTTGCCTTTGTCATTGATACTGAGTTAGATGTTTATAGATAGAGATTTAATTTAATTGTTTTACTTATAGCACGCAAATAATAATAGATATAACGCAAAAAAAGAAATAAAAGAATACATATACAAATAAACAAAAAACAAAAGGAAAATAGGCAAAAGTAGTTACATTATTTTTCATTTCGTAAGTGTGCCACAGTAACACAAAATGGTCACAACTCCGTTTATTGCTTTGCCCTCAAAAGAGCAAAACACTGATATTCTGTTGATGCCAAAAAATAAATGCCTTATTATATAACTATTGTGTACGTATATATTTTTAATTCAAATTAGTGATCGTCTGACTTTGCAAAGACCTTAGAAAAAGTTTTTATATTATTTAAATCAAATCTTAAAATGTCAGTCACAAAAAAGTGTTACGATTAATGAATAGATTATTTTGCTAGTGGTAAAGGATGAAGAATATAATGTTTTACTATTTCTTTTTATTCTAGTTCTAACCGAAAAAAGCAAATTTTACTAGTAGCCAGACTTTTATTAGTTAGTCTTACTTCTAGTCAGTAGTACAAGAGGAAGTCTCAAAAATAAATCCCTTTAATAAGCCGCTTGGCTAACATAATAATTATAGGCTAATATAATCCTCTTATAGGGGATAAACTGGGATTTAGCGATGTACTATTAAGTTATTATAATAACGATAATTGAATAAGCATAAAAGAAACAATACATTAAATAGAAATGTAAGGAATATCTTACATAAATAACTGCCACAGCATATTATGCCTTACAACATTTTAATTCTGCGTCCATCACTCCTTAATAAATAAAGTTGTAGACTACATGTATCTGTCTGAAAACCCTCTTGTAAGCCTACATCGAGGACTCAGAGTCGATTGCTTAGTCGACTTAGTGCCTGAAACGCAAGTATGTAAACGAATCTTCTCTTTATTATTTTTGAAACTCACGTCCATATATATTTTTTTTATATATATATATATATATATATATATATATATATATATATATATATATATATATATATATATATATATATATATATATATATATATATATATATATATATATATATACGAATATACGGGAAATGCGACGCTGTGACGCAAAGCGCTGTACGCCTCCTGAAGAAGACTTACGGATGAAGTCTAAACATATCATCATCATCATATATCATAAATCATGAAAAATAGGAGAATTTTATATGTTATTTATTTATTTTACACTTTATTGCACCAAGTAAAAAAAAATTGTAAATACTTATTAACTTGTAAAGATCAAAGTAAATGACATTGTAACTAAAAAAATAATAAAGGTCTCATTATATCCAAATGATGAGAAAAACAATCAATAATTGACATTGAATGTGAATTTACATCAGCTGAGCTCCTTAAATTTAGCTAATTTAATTTGTTTGCAAAAAGAAAATAATGAACTCTGTATTTTCTCACATCTAAGGCACAGATCTTAAACGAGTGTCAGCGCCAAGTTCTAAACCGCCTCGATGGGCCGCCCTCCGCCCCTCACACTTCACGAGTTCGAAAAACGTTTCTGATGTTCGCGATTCCTTTTATAAGCGAATTGTATTTATGTCTACTGTTTCTCCTAAAATCTGTGTCATTGAGACTCCGATATCAAGTTGTGAAGTATTTTGACTCGTTTCAAAACTCAATTTGTAGAGGACGTAATTATTGCTCTCGCTGATTCTTGAGAGAAATAGTATTGTGCTTATATTTCTTTCATTTAATAGTTTTCTTCAACCGACTTTAAAAAGAAGAAGGTTTGCATTTTTTTTCTTTTTTATGTTTGTTATATTTATAGTTCCATCAATTGTAAACCGATTTGGACAATTCTTTTCTATAAAAAAAAAAATACAGATTGATCCTATAGAAATTTTATCAAAATAACTGCTTTTGCCATTTTTGAAGTTGGTTTTGTTTCGTGGAATACAATCTTAATTTTTTTACATAATACCAGTAAAGTACAAATAATCCTATTTATAGTTCAAGCTCAAGTCTATAAGTTCATGTTACTAAACTTAAGGCATCCTGGAGAAATCTTTTCATTACATCCATTTTGAGAATTCTTTTTGGATGAGAAACTTTTGAAACAAAAAAGTGTACAAATAAGGATTATAAAAGATCTGAGGAAAAGAGTAATTTATAAAAGGACATAGTTTTTATCCTAATTCACTTAGACAAAGTTATAAAAAAGAGCTAGTGTTTATAAAAAATATAAATTTCTTATTGAATGAATAATATATATTGATGTATAGATATTACCACACTGTCAATTTTATTTTTATTTTTGATTTAATTACAAGCTATATAGTCATATCGTTATGTTGAATAGTCTTCTTTAAAAAAACGAGTTCTCAAAAGCGAAATTATTTTTTCAATACCGATTTTTTCAACTTCAGAGATTAGCGCGTTCTAATAAACAAAGTATTCGACTTTAATATAAATAATATATGAAAAATAATAATCCAAAAATAAGTTTCATGAACGTACAAGCATTATATTCTTTAAAATTATGGATGTTCCAAAATAGTTACACATTACACTCTTGTAAATGAAAGCATTTATAAACTATTCTTAGTTGTTATGTCAGCCATTACCTGTCCACTGCTGGACATAGGCCTCGACCATAAGGGTTTTTCCAATATTTACCACGCTTGGCAGGCAGGTTGGCAAATACAGTTAGGCTTTGAAGATGTTCTAAGAGGGACGCTGCTGCTCATCCCTCGACTATTTAGTTCCCTTGGTCGCTTCTTACGACACCCATAGGTGTCTACTACTATATAAGATATAGTTACTTATCAACCGTTATGTAAATACTTAAAATACTTTATTAAAAAAATAGGTCTAATTTAGCCAAATATTCAATAATAGATTTATAGAAGTACCATTATAAATTTAAAAAGATCAGATTCCATCGAAGTTTCAAGTCACAGTCGTAATAAAACTTACATGGAGTTGGCAACTTGTGACTTCATTCTCGCTCGGATTGTGTTAGTTTAAATCCACAAACTGGCCACAAGTAGTTTCACTAACTTAGAATAAATTTACATTTTATCTTTTACTATAGACAGAGAAGGGTTTTATAGTAACTGTAAATACTATAAAGGATTCCTCATAGATTCTTTTAAATTTATTTAGGCCTGTCTGCGTTTCTATCTCAAGGATCATATGTCTTTATGAGGATATGGTTTACAATTTTCGAGCAAAAATAAGAATGCTCAATCATGATAACATTTCATTTTTATGGTACCGTTTGTAAATAACCAAAAGTATTTTTTTTTAATCTTGTAAACAGTTTTAATACCACTTATCAACACTGTGTCAATATAAAAAAAATATTGTCACTTGATTGATTGACAAATACTGCCACCAGACAACGATCTTCTCATGGATAATAGTAGATGTATCACAAGATGAATTTTTGATAAAGTTGCCATTTTCTATCAAATTGCTTGCTATTTTGTTTATAATATAAAAGAATATTACAAATTGCATACAGAACCATGCCAATCAATATTGAAATATTATTAAAATATGAAAATCATATTCCAATAATTATTGTTGATTGAAAATTTTCGAAGTTGGCAAGATTTCAAACCGCACCTTCTACGCCATGACGGGGCCAAAGAATATATATATAACTTGGCCGGGACTAGTGATCTTAGAGTTGAGCTACTGCTTCATTGCAATATTGAATCGTGTTACAATTTTTTTTTTTTATTCTTACGTCATTTAGCGCATCACTCGGTGAAATTGTTATTTTTACATTACATTATAAGATTCATGTATTCATATATGAAGTTACCATTTTCTATCAGATAGGTAGCTCTTTCCTATCCTCTCTGTAAGCTAAAATAAAAAAAAAACCACGACCTTTGTACAAAACTATCTGCTAATACTTGCTCGTGTCGAATTTTTACATACTTAGAATGGCAAACAAGCTGACGGCCCACCTGATGGAAAGTGGTAACCGTCGCCTATACACATGAACAGTACCGTGGACATAACAGAGAATACTGTTTCGGCCATGATACCCCCCATGCGTTGCCATTCCTGAGAACTAAGGTATTATTCCTCTGTACCCAGTAAATTCACGCCATATCCCACGCTTCAAACCATGCAAACCCACAGCCATGCAAACACAACTGCTTCACGGTAGAAACACGAATGGGACAGAGGTACCCAAGCAATCAACTTTTGTACAAAGTCTCCCTCTGGTATATGCCTTTCATTTCCGCCTATGACTATTTTCTTTGTCATTCTTTGTGGTTAATACAAAAAAAAGAACTACGGACTTTATATAGAACCATTGGCTAATTAATATTCACTCGTGTCGACTTTTTAAGTAACATAAAATTTAAACATTTCACAACACTCTTCATGAAGTTATTATCTATAAAAATAAATAACTGTTTTCGCTAGTAACTAGCTTCCCTAGCTCTGTAGCTGTCTTAGCTAAAAAGCATGATAGCATGCTCTGTAGATAATTGGTATAAAAGAAAACTATAAACTTTGTACAGAACCATCCGCTAATATCCGCTCGTGTCGACATTTTTCGTGTCATAAAATATTAACTTTTCACACCACTTCATGTCACTTTATGTCACTTTATGTCTTCTCTTGAAGTTATTTTCTATAAAAATTAATAGCTATTTTCGCTAGTACGAGTAACTAGTTTCGACAGCTCTGTAGCTGTTTTAGCTACAAAGCATGATACACATGTTCTGTAGGTAATAGGTATAAAAGAAAACTACGAACTTTGTACAGAACCATTCGCTAATATTCGTTCGTGTCGACATTTTACGTGTCATAAAATTTTAACTTTTTACGTCACTCTACACATCTGCCGATGAAGTTGGAACGCACGTCGTTTCCGCGTGATATGACGTCGAGTGCGGAACATCCGCGGTTAATGTCGATTTTGTCGAAATGGCATTTACATATAGCTCGTATTCGTATGCGACCCTTTTTAGTCTACAACCAAAAGAGAGGGTCCATATATTGCAAGTGGATATGAAAATGTAAGAGATATTTATATTTAATTAGCTGTGACTGTGACTTCATCTGCATGGTATTATTACAGTCTAAACAACTCATTTCTACCAATCGTCTAACATATAGAGCGATAAGTCCCAAATTGACCAATTACCAAATGTACCACTGTATCGTATCGTATTATTAAGATTAATATATTAGATCCTTATATATGAAATTGGCATTTTATACGGGAGGAATATAAAATGTTTTTTTTTTTTTGTTAAATATATTTAATTAATCAAAGTATGCACCGTTGTTATCTATGCACTTTTGCCATCTCATAGGTAGTTCATTGATCCCTTTAATAAAAAAAAACATGAGGGCGAGAATCAATAAACTCTTTAAAGGCAGTTTGGACTGTGCCGCATCAGAGTTGAATTTTTTCCTTGTGAGAAATTGTCCAAATTTTGGGAAAAATGGTAATCTGTTGGAGCAAGGTCCGGGGAGTATGGTAGATCTCGCAGACATTCCAATTGTAGCTCATCTAACTTAGTGGTTGTTTGTTGTGTTGTATGTGGTCTTGCGTTATCTTGAAGCAGCAGTGGCCTAGAGCGATTGACCAATCTCGGTTGTTAAGCAGCTAGCTCTTCCTTCATGGTTTGCAGTTGCTAACAATAGATGTCTGCCGTAATCGTTTGACCAGATTTTAGAAAGCTGTAGTAAACGACACCGGCGCTAGTCCACCAAACAACTCAACACTTCAACAAGCGAATTCAACTCGCACCTGACCAGTTTCTTAATAACTTTTAACTTAAATCCAAACGCGCAAATGACATTTACTTGAATAACCATGAATAAAGTCAAATCACATAATTTCTTCATGTCATCATATTTAATTGCACATTTATTTGCCAAAAATAAATTAAAAAAGGCATTTACACTTTCAAAATTGCCCTCGCGAAGTTATTACCGAACTAAGAAATACCATTAGCCAGTTTACACTCACCGTTATAAATTTGACTGGGTCACTGCGACCCGCATACCAACTAGGGGTTAAACATCCAGCTGGGTAGTTTTGACACGGTAAAGATTCAAATTGCTGAGTTGATAAATCGATTCTACTCTTTTGTATGGAAATATAGCTAAATTTACTTTAATTTTGAACCGAATTAAAAAAGTTGTTTATATTCTATTCTATATAAATGTTTATCAATTGCTAAATGTGTAAAGCACATCGCTTCAGAACAGCTACTCTTATTTTGCTAATTCTTTTTGTGTTTCTAATTATTAGAATGAGATTTACATGAGAGAAAATGTTTGAAAAAGAAAACTGAGTAAGTGAGAGAGAAGATTTGGACTTATTTTCTTCATTAATATGCCCATGTGAAGCTGGGAGAAGCAGCTTGTTTTATTTAAAAGCCGTCTCTTTAGGCACCACTGTTCCGCTCAATTATCTACATAGCCAAGTAATTGTGCTTGCATGGTTGTGTTTAGGTTTGAATGGTGGGATTTGTCAGTGAAATTATAGGATCCAGAGAAATAACACCATACTCATCAGAAATGTAACACATAAGAAATACCATGAACACCATAGTATATGCTACGATTTATGTCTATCGATGACTGTGACTACCGAAACAGTCAGCTCGTTTGCTATTCCAAGTTGTATAATCCATTTTGAAATCGACGCCTAAACCCTAGTTTACAAAAAATAAAAATAATTTCGATCTGATAGTGATATTATACCATTACTAATGTAATGCACCCCCGCCCCCATTTCACTATGCTCTAAACGTGTATACAACTCAACTGATCGTCGTCTTAATAAATGACCGACGACGACCTTTACGGCGAGTAAGGTCGGCACAGCTTTTATTCAAATAAGAATCTACATTCAAATTACAGTTTTTTGTTCTGCGAAATAACAACAATTTAAGAAGAATAAAACCTAAAAGATTGTGACCTGAAAACTCTGAATAAGACTATATCATTAATTAATCGCTATGTTATTTATTTATTTATTTTATTTATAATTTTATTATATACATATAATAAAATTTGTTAAAAGAATCAAAATTACTGTTGGCTATTTTGAAACTAACGAAATCTAAAGAATGTGAACTCTCGAAATAGCTAATTGCAAATGAACTATACTTAAGCCCTGTTGAGTAGAGAATGATTCAGACTTAGTTTCTACTGAAGACCTGCCCACCCGCCCGTAGCGCTTTGCAATACTCTGCATACATTGCTCATAGTTTGTGTAACTTTAACCGGTAAATCTCTACTATACTAATATGTACGAAGAGTGAAAAGTTTGTTCATATCCTGTACTAATAAACAAAGATTGAACATACATTTACTGTATTTCTTGTTATCCTGTAGATATTTTATGCCAATGAAATAGAAAATAAACATACAATCCCCCTGGTTGGGGGGAAAGGGATTGTTAGTAATGGAGTTTGACAGCCCCATTGCTAGCAATATGCCTTATTAGATCGACCTCCACGTGGTTCCCCCTGGAAATCATCGTGAACAATTCTTGTTGAATTCGTCACGATGGGCCAACTGACCTACTTCATCCTCACCTATCATCCTTCACGGGTGCCCCGCCGGTGTATACTGATAGCGCGGGTGGGGTTACCATTATTATCATCCATTAAAAAAAACCCTGGTTATATAATATATAAACACAGATATAGTACAAGTCGTAATTTTTATATATATACGTATACCAATTTCATTTAAATCCGTTCTGTAGTTTTTGAGTGGAAGAGTAGCAAAAATCCATCTATCCATCCATCCATCCTTACATTTACGCATTTACAAGTACATATTGAATATACCACTAACTAAGCTTTACTGTTGTATACGATATTTTCGTAATTACATATATAATTCTGAATCATTTTGATGTTTTTTTTTATTAATTAAAATTGTTTATTGCTACGTTGATGCCCTACTAATTTGGATAAGAATAATACTTGTATCTAACATGAGTTTTTAAGCTACTACAAGAAGAAGAGATTATCAATTCTTCAATACCAATTTGCAGTCAATAGATTGTTATGATTGAAATTACTGTTTTTATAGCAGAGAAAAATCTTACATTATTTCAAATTTAAATTCGGATAGAATACTATTAACTTGCTATTTATCATATATTAACTTTTGTTTATTCCAGCTCCAAGTCTCTTCGCAGTGCCAGTAACATGTTCGTCATCAATCTAGCTGTGTTCGATCTGATGATGATGCTCGAGATGCCGCTGCTGATTGTAAACTCGTTCTACCAAAGGTTGGTCGGTTACCAACTCGGTTGTGACATATATGCGGTACTTGGAGCACTTTCGGGTATAGGAGGCGCCATTACCAATGCTGTCATCGCTTTCGATAGATATAAGTAAGTTAATGATATTTATTTAGATATTTGATGCACCTGGACAATATAAAATATGGATCTAACATTACATTATCATCATATTAGCTTTTAACTGTCCACTGCTGAACATAAGTCTCCCCTTGGGTGGTTCTGCCAGTATGATAATGTTAGAATGGTAACCGCAGTTAGGTTTTAAAGATGCTTTAAGAAGGACGCTGCTGCCCATCCCTCGCCCTTCCTTAGTTGCTTCTTACGACACCCATAGACCACCCTTCCTTTACTGTTGGTGTCGTAAGAGGCGACTAAAGGAAGTTAATGGTCGAAAGATGGATAACAGCGTTTCTTTTAAGACATCGTCCAAAGCTTAACTGCGGTTGCCAACCCGCCTGCTAAGCGTGGCAACTACTGGCAAGCCCCCCATCCCCTAATAGGGGAAAGCCTATATTCAATAGTGGACAGATAATGCCTGATAAGAAGATGAAGCATTATTAAGTAGCCAGTGTTAACATTTATAAATTATTATTAAATTTTATTAAATATATATTTATAAATAATATACTCGTAATAGCTTGAATGTCACAATCACAGGACCATTTCATGCCCACTTGATGGGAGGATAAACAGGATACAAGCGGGTCTCCTTATCGCCTTCACGTGGTTCTGGGCACTGCCGTTCACAATACTTCCGGCCTTAAAAATCTGGGGACGATTTGTACCAGGTAATAATGAAATACACACTAGTTTCTACTTACGATTTTGTTCGCGTGACTAGAATATTTACGAGCATTCATTGGCTGAGATAAAAAGTAGCCTATGTATTATTTATCCCAGATTTTTCATAACTATTAAGGCTAAGTGGCGTCTAGGTTGTATATCTTACTTTCTGAAAAGCTTCTTACAATACACAGAGTGCAATCAAAGTTATTAGCATCCTAGCATCCTTTTATGGGAGTGAAACCGAATATTTTTCCCAAAAGAACACGATCAATCGACAAAAAACTTTGATACTTTTGAACGCACTATGTTAATAGGTATCTATTAACATAGCGCGTTTAAAAGTATCAAAATACGTGTTGCAAAGCAGAATTTGCTTCTAAAAATACGATTATTACCTATAACATAAGAGTCAAATGTAATTTTGTACGTGCTGCTATGTTAATGTGTCTACAGTTAATTACAATTGTAAATGGCAAAACACGAGTATTATCCAGCCGTTGAATGATCCAAATGTAAAATGAAACCAAACATCACTAACTGTTGCGAAGTTAATACAGTCTGAATGACTGATTATCTCCGCCAATTGAGTGACAAATTGTTAGCATCCGCTGAAAGTCGATTACCTCCATTGTCTTCACGAATAAAATTAACGTAATTTGATGAGTAATCGACTATTATCAATTTTATTAGATATTCAATACTTTTTCAATAAGCTCTTATTACAATTGTTATAAAGTTCGATTTGAAATGCTAGTATTATTTACATCTATAATATAGGTGTGCGTAATGACTAAATTAATTCGATAATACAAAGTTTTGAGCATTTAAATGCCTACAAAAAAACCAAGCAGCAAAAAACTAAAAAGGCGCCACTGAAAACAGAATATATTTAATCAAGTTATGTACTCATTTCTTATCAAACAGTTACATTTATTATAAAATGTACCGATAAATGGTCATAAATTTATAAAAGTATTACAAAAGTTATATTTCACAATATTTATATATAAATTTGTTACTGGAGGTATTACTAGTTGCATTAATTTAAAAAATAAATATTTTATTGAAGTCAGTTTTTTTTTTTTGTAAAACACAATTTTTATTGCTTACTTTACCATTTTCAGATTGTTATGAAATAATTCTAATAGATAGATATTTAATACAGAAAAGTATATGTATTCTAATTAGCTATTTTATCTTTAAACAATAACATGAAATTTACACGAAATTAAAATTTTATGAAATTACAAAACTTTTATTTTATTTAATTTTAATTAAGTTTTTATTATAACTTTTATGATAATATGAATTTATAGGTTTGTTATATATCAATGAATTTAGAATTACTAAATGTGACAATTTACAGAGGGATTTCTGACAACATGCTCGTTCGACTACTTTTCCGACGACCAAGATACTAAGGTATTCGTGGCGTGCATCTTCGTTTGGAGTTACTGTATTCCGATGACGCTCATCTGCTACTTTTATTCGCAGTTATTTGGCGCTGTAAGTATCACTAGGAATAAAATAAAGAAAATAATAAAATTCAAATTAGTTTGTTACCATCTAATAGGGATCTTAAAGAGAGCAAAATATTTTGGGGAGAAAAATGTAAACCAGACAGTAAAATATACAGATCCTCGTCTGCATAGACCATTTATGACCAATTACAACAATGACATTAAATTCATTTCGAACTAGCATATCTCAGACAAAAACATTTTTTAAATTGACGTTTTTAATCCCTGCCTCTAGAACCTGATAATCTCAAAAGAATCTATCTTCACTTCGTGATCATCACGAGAATTGTCTACTGTTATATTTAATCATATAAAATTTGTATCAGACTTTTATTCAGCCCAAAAAGGCCTAGGGACCTATAATTAAAGTTAGTTTATTTCTTCCTAGCTTATACACCAATGCTCTTCAATCAAAGTGAATAACAATAATAATAATTATTATTATAATTAGCCTTCCAAAGTCCAACCCCGCGTCCGAGCTCACCATCTAGCTCACGTGGAAGGCGGTCACGCGTATAAATTAAACCTACGCGGCTAAAGGGGCAATGGCAAAAATAAAGATGGCGAATAATAATAACGGAGAGAGTATAGGGTCGCTGCCCGGGGGTCGCCGGGGCGCGTCTACAACTGGCGGTAGGCGCGGCAGAATGCGAGCCAGCCGACCGGCCCCACCACCTGGCCGGTCCGACCCCTCGCCATCGACATCAGCTGGCTTGGCGCCGGCAGGGCCGTCACAGGCCCAGCAATCGGTGCCCGCCACTGGTGGTACACGTCGCATGAGGTGGACAAGAGCCATGAATGAGGACCTCATGCGTGCGTTCTTCAGGGCTACAGGGACAGAAACAGGCAGAACAGGATACCGGGCAGTAATGCACCGCGAGTTTCTGCGTCTTTTACCGGATCTAACCGTCTCGGAACAGAACCTAGCCGACAGAGTTCGGTACATACAGCGCTCTGGTATGTTTAGCGCGACCGAACTCGAACGATTGCGACGTGAAGTTGTTCCAGAAGCAAACTCCGCGACCGTAGAGCAACCCATCTCAGACGTGCTACCTAGCGTAGAGGTGGTTGCCGAAACGCTTTCAGAAGCGGATGCGGACGGAACAACTTCCCAGGATATAGAGCATATGAGGAGCATACTAGAGGGGGCGATTCTAGAGATCCGAAGAACTCCCCTCGAAGAGAGACCGAAGCTTCCCCGGATATATCCAAATGTGGCGACGCGGGATGCCATTGAGGCCACAAATGGACTGCTGCCTCAGTACCTTGAGGGCAGCGGTGACCTGGGAGAGACGAGTTCAATCCTGTTTGGCGCTGCGTTGGCAGTATGCCGATATACCGGCGCAAAAATGCCCCGGGCTGGACGTAATATCCAAAGGGATAATATGAAACCAGCCTGGAAAAGAAGGATTGAACGACGGATCGCCCAGGCCAGAGTCCTCATTGGTAGACTGCTCTGCTTCAGGGAGGGCAACACACGCCCGAGAATTATGCGCTCCGTAAAAGAGGCCTTTGCTGGGACAGGTGTACGTCTGTTCCAGCCGGACTTCGGGCACAAACTTACGGAGCGCATAGATGAACTGAAGCAGAAGATCGCTGCATGGGGGAAGCGACTCCGACGGTACTCTGAGAGGGTTGAGAGGTATCAACAGAATCGCCTCTTTATGAGTGATCAACGGAAGTTTTATAGGAACTTGGAGCGCCCAAAACTACAGCCCACAGGACAAAGACCCGAAACAGCCAATTTCGTCGCCTTCTGGAGACAGCTGTGGTCTGAACCTGTGGAACATGAGGAGGGCGCATGGATGCACGATGTTGAGGAAGCATGTGCTCGAATAACGCCGATGAACGCCATTGCCATTACGGAGGAAGACGTGGTTGCCGCGATCCGTCGGGCTCCGAACTGGAAAAGTCCGGGGATCGACGGATTGCAGCACTACTGGTTAAAGGCGTTCTCGGCCAGCCATGCGACCTTAGCCGTGCAATTCCAGAGTGCCCTCGAAAACAGGACGCTCCCGAACTTCCTTACAACCGGGATCACTCATTTAGCTCCTAAGACGAACGATACCGCGGATCCATCTAAATATCGCCCCATCACTTGTCTTACGACAATATATAAGACGTTAACATCCGTTCTGAGCGCTAAGATCTCTCGTCATGTGTACGAGAATAAGATCCTATCTAGCGCTCAGAACGGATGCAGGGGCGGTAGCCGCGGATCGAAGGAGCTGCTCCTCATTGATGCTGTCGCTGGGCACGTGGTCAAGCGGAACCGTCGGAATTTCTCCGCCGCCTGGATAGATTATAAAAAGGCGTTCGATTCCGTGCCCCATTCATGGCTCCGGAGGATACTCGAGCTGTACAAGATCGACGGTACAGTTCGAGTGTTCTTGGAGGCATGCATGGGGCAGTGGACGACGATCCTGACTATCCAGGGCGAGCGATTGACGGATACCGCTGACCGGATAGAGATAAAGAGAGGAATATTCCAGGGCGATTGTTTGAGTCCACTTTGGTTTTGCCTGTCCCTGAATCCACTCAGTACTTTACTGGAGAATTCGGGGACTGGATTTCAGTATCGGAGAGGAGGTACACGAGCGTCTCACCTTCTGTACATGGATGACTTGAAACTGCTAGCTCCGAGCGTCGAACGCCTGACGGAGCTGCTAAATATCGTAAACGATTATAGCAGCTCTATTAGGATGGCGCTCGGAATAGACAAGTGCGCGGTCCTCCATGTGCAGAGGGGACGGGTCACTCAAACTGAAGGGATCGCCCTCTAATATTAAAACCCTCTCCGAGGCTGAAACATACCGGTATCTGGGCATGTCACAAAACATCGGTGTGAAGGAGACGGATATGAAACAGTCAGTCCGCGAGGAATTTTTTGCGCGCCTTACAAGAGTACTGAAAAGTTCTTTGTCGGGCGCCAATAAAATCCGAGCTTATAACGGCTGGGTCATACCCGTACTCCTTTACACTTTTGGCGTGCTCAGATGGTCTCAAACCGAACTCGAAGCCCTGGATCGGAAAGTCCGCACAACTATGACCCTCCATAGAATGCATCACCCGAAATCGTCAGTCATGAGGCTGTATATCCCGCGGAAAGCTGGTGGTCGAGGCTTGTTAAGCGTTAAGACCATGCACAACCGCGAGATTGACAGCCTCAGGACATATTTTCTGGAGAAAAGAGACGAGGGTTTGCATAGAGAGGTCATAGAATGTGACAAAGGATTCACCCCTCTTTCTCTGGCTAAAGAGGACTGGCGAAAACCCGAAGTTTTGGGTACCTCTCAGCGGGAGGCCGTATGGAAAGAGAAGGAGTTGCACGGAAGGTTCTTCAAAGCCCTTCACGGGCCGTACGTAAACACGAAGACCTCCGTGCACTGGCTACAGTTCGGTGATCTCTTCGGAGAGACCGAGGGTTTTGTCTGTGCAATACAGGATCAGGTGGTTAAGACGAACAATTACCGAAAGCACATTCTGAAGGATGGCACTGAGGACATCTGTCGAGCATGTCGCCATCCCGGAGAGTCACTCAGACATGTGCTTTCGGGTTGTTCAGCTCTTGCCAACACAGAGTACTTGCACAGGCACAACCAGGTAGCCAAAATACTCCATCAAGAGCTAGCTCTGAAGTACGGCCTCGCGAATGAGAGGTTGCCGTACTATAAGTACGAGCCACAGCCTGTCCTCGAAAGCGACAGCGTCAGGCTCTACTGGGACCGGTCCATCATCACGGACAGGACTGTTCTTGCGAACAAACCTGATATCGTGGTGATGGACCGGGCACTTTCGAGGGTGTTTTTGGTGGATGTCACCATACCGCATGACGAGAACCTCGTGAAAGCCGAAACCGAGAAGAAGAGAAAATATCTCGACCTGGCTCACGAGGTGACCGAAATGTGGGGGGTGACATCTACCGAAATCATCCCAATCGTTATGTCGGTGAACGGTCTTATCCCAACCAGTCTGGAACAACATCTCAGACGGTTGGGATTCCGAGGCGGCTCACTCCCGGGAAAGATGCAGAAAGCGGTGCTCTTAGATTCTGCCCGCATTGTACGCCGGTTTCTCTCCCTGGGGCCCTGAACCCCGGCCGACTGTGCTTCTGCCGGGGGTTAGTTGCCATCTCCTCTCCTTAAGAGGGGAGATGAGAATTTTGGTAAAATTTAAAAATAATAATTATTATTATTTCAGCCGTTAACTGTCCACTGCTGGACATAAGCCTTCCCCATAAGGGGAGTTTTGCCAACAGTTGTTGGATTGCTTGGCAGGCGTGTTGGCAACCGCAGTTAAGCTTTCAGAGATGTTTTAACATAAAAATGCCTTAAAACAATTAAAATACTTATTTATTATAAAAAAAATATGGATCAAAATACAGACAGTGTTTTGGGAAACATTTGTATTTCAAAATTATTAACAATTTTTCTCCATATATACGGAGAAAAATTATAAATAGAATATATATTCTATTTATAATTTTTCAAAACTTGATTAGTAATAACAGTTAGAGAACAAATAAGTATTATTACTCAAATCTAAACTGTCAAAGTGGCACAATACTAATCCAGCTCACGTAATAATGTGGCGACAAATTCCGTGTACCCGGTTGACTATTCTCACCAAAGGGTCCTGTTTCCGTTCTATTAAATTCGGATCTTACAGACCCGACCTGCGAAATGGTTAGTTCAATGTTCCACCTGTTTTTCAATTAACCTTTGCGGAAAATATTCATTTTTTTTTTATTAGTTACAAATATTAATATTACTTATACATTTCATCGATGTGTGATGGAAAAGATTTAACAATCTGAAATCGAAATAAACATATCTGTTGACCAAAATAAAAAGGAGTCTATATACACATTACCCATACCAAACTTATAAAGATCGTAAAAATGTCTATAAAATACATGTCAATAAAACCCTTAATTTATTATAGATAATTAAAAAAAGTGTGTCAATAGCTTTACATCTTTGCCGTGCTTTCTCTCTGATGTTTGCAGAAAACAAAAAAAAATATTTTGTTTAAAAAAAGAACAAACTCAAAACAATCGCTAAGTGAAAAGAAACAATAAAAACTCCGGGCTAAAAGTTCTAGAGACAAGTGAAAATCGTTTTTAAAGTTCGTCACCTCGCGAATTGTTTCGGGATAAACTCGTAATGGAGGGGGGAAGTTGGTAACTCGTCGTTGGCCGCGGATACTGCTTGTAATTATTAATTTTATACAACACTAGCTGCGTCCGTGAGTTCGTTCGCGTATACCGATTATAATAAATTCTCATCACAGTACAAGTAATCACTTCGTTATAAATTCTGTCACAATATTGTATATAATTTTTTCACTCTCCTCTTTTACACCATCTATTGTCGAATAGACTCAACAGTATACTTACCAACAAACAACTTTAAAAAAATAGTACAACCCATTTGGAAAGTAATTTTAAGTTTTCAATAGATATGTTAACTCATGTTTAGTTTAATGTACTCCGAATATTTCGTCACAACTAGCCTTGCCGTTTTTACGTGAAACGTTAACGCACAAACCAGACAAAATCATAAACAGAAAAAAGTTTTAAAAACTATCGTTTCAGGTTATTATCGTATGTATAATTATATCCATCGAAATGTAGTTCACATTTCAGTTTTGGCTTCGTTACAATTTTATTGTATGTAGATATGAACTCGTTAGTCACTTTATTGAATTAACGCGCCACACAATGAGGGTTAACTTTCTCTAAAAACGATTTTATATAACACAAAGTTGTTTTCACTTTGTATTTTTTCGCTAATATCGCTTAAATCCCGAGAAGTGATTTAAGGATCATAATTAATGGGAGCGGATAGCTCTTAAAAGAGATTTCGACGGTAAGGGTCGTTTAGGTACCAGGGTCGTAAAAAAATAAATATTTCAAATATTAAGTCACCAGCCAAATTTTTTAGCGAACGGAATTTTCTTATTTTTGCATAATTAATCATCTTGTAAATAATTGAAGAGTTAAATAACTATAGCTGGCAACGTAAATACTACCGATACCTAAAATTTCAATCGTCTATAAATTTCAATCGACTTCAATCAGTTGAACTGTATTTTTGTGTGTATACGCGCTATGATTATAATGATTCACAGATACTATAGATTGCAAAAAGTTACAACCGATAAGGTCTAGTTTAAGTAGTAGTTAAGTAGTTTAAGTAAGCAACATCAATACAACTCCAATATTTATATGTCCACTTTCTTTGGAGATTGATGACGGAAAAAAGGTCATCAACCATTTCAGTATCGCCTATACCGGTTGGATATCTATATTCATTTCGGTAGCGTTCTTTATTATATATTGTGTTCGATGTTACATATTGAATAACCGATATTTATATCCATTATTAAGCCAACCTATAGATATTGTAATTAAAATATATAGATATTGCTATACTCGTATATTACCCACCCCTAACAAAGTCTGCTTCTGTGCTAAGTCAGTCACATTTGGAGTACGTTCCATTCCTTAATATATAACCAACAATACAACAACTCATAAAATGTATAGTTCTGTTTCCCAAATTTTCACTAATAATTTAAAATTCAATACATTATATTTGAATATAATAATAAAATCCTTATTTTGTGTAAGTCTAAGCACTTAAATCTATACATCTATAAGTCTATATCTTTAAAAGTAAAATGAAAAGCTTGGTGAAACCGAACGCAATTCACGGCTATTTGTTGCGAATTCACAAATTCCTAATCCCAAACGAAATGGCTACGGAATGTTATAAGGGGAGACTGAACTAGGTATCGGTTTCTCTTGCCCGAACACCGATGCGCGCCGACCGACTTCTTTTGTGTCGTTTACAGTCACGTAGTAAATCCGTTTTAATATTTTGTCTATGGAAAATCTAATCTGATATTAGTAGTAGAGTAGACTAACACATTGGAATTGTGATGTTTCTCACTCTCGAATAAATTTAAACAATAATAATCCAATATGTGTTTCTGTCTAATTTCGGTGAACTTTTTTATTGTAGACTGTCAGAAAAGTTGATGCCCATAAAATAAATAGTAAATAGTTTTAGAAAAAAAGAAGCTTCACTTTACTAGAACTAAAATTTGAATATTCCTCTGGAATTTAAAATTTCAAAGCATTGAAATTAGATATGAATAAAACAGTCCTTTGGAGAAAACGACTATTGTATTTCAATCTCTAATTGTTGTGTTTCAAAAGTGTAAGGTACATAAGACTGCGTTCCACAATAAGAAAATCGACTTCAATTAAAGCAATATTAGGTATGTTGATTTAAAAACTAAACTATTAGACCGATTTTGACAAAAATTTCTATGGGACTAATATGTAGGTATATCCTTTCAGACAAAAAAATAATTCCAAATCGGTTTATAACTGACGAAGTTCGGTTCGGTATTTTCTTTGTTTATTACCTCTTAACAAAATATTTTTTACCTATTAACTTTTTCGACATAAGTGTACCAATAACTGTATGTAAGGCACATCCACGATTGACCGGCGTGTCCCGGAACTGTTTGCCAACCACTCTTTCATGGGATTTATTTATTCTAATTTAGGCCTTTTTCCAACCATTATGTTCACATACTGCCATAGTATGGAAATTTTAATGTTCCACTTTGAGGCCCCACTCTACTCAAAATAAAATGTTTTTCTCTGAATACTTAATTTTAAATGCTACAAAAAATAAATTTTAACAAAACTGAAATGTCTATGAAAAAATCTATCTACGACTAACAAAATTGTTCTATTTAAAAATAAACATTTATATTATTTAAAAATATTATATATTTTTAGATTAAAAAAATGTTTTAATTAAATGTAAAAGAATTATAGCGAGATGAAGATTAAATAGAACGAATGTGCTAACCCCGAAGGTTTACATCATAAATTCACCATCAAACATTTTCTATATATCAACACGTGAATGAATAAACGAACATTTCCTATTTATTTATTCTTCTTTGCGTATTATTACTCCGTGCGTAATACGATTTTCAATTAATGTAAATAATAATTTAATAAGACTAAATGTTTATATTTTATATTGTCTGAATTTTAGCCTCAATACAAATTGTAATAAGTGGCCGATTGTGTTTCGGAACGAGCCCATCTCTTTAGGCGGCTGAGGTTTCATTTAGAAATTAATTTATTTCTAACATCAAAGCGAATTCGTTACGCAGTACTGCGCATTTATCAAAACCAGCTTTGGTACGTGGGGATTAAAAAAATAACGCTTGTAAAATATATCTTTTATAATTTTATTGTACCACTGCGAAATAACGTGTAAGTATATAATAATTACATGTGTTAGCTTGTTTATTTTACAAGTATGGGGTTGAAATTTCTAATGCCAACATTATGGTCCAGAGCTATTCTGCTTTGTCGAATATTTTCTTTGCTGGCTTTCTATATTATTTCATACAACTTAAAATAGCAAACAAGCTGACGGCCCACCTGATCGACAGTGGTAACCATCACCTAAAGACATAAGTAGTCCCACAGTAGTCATACAGTTTACTCCGTTATATGCATAACGGAGTAAACTGTATCGCTCATGATATCCATCATGCATTGCCATTTCTAAAGACTAGGTTGTTGTCTCTGTATCCTGTAATTTTATTTCCACATCCCACTCTTCAAACCAAAACACGAACTCTCCTTGCCGTAATTTTGAAAGTAACTATAAAAAGTCTTAAAAAAGTAAAACTTAACAATGTTTTTAATGGGATGTCACTATTTTGTAATCACTCATCCCTTTTTAACCCTTTTTGCAACACCAAAGAAACATCAACATAATGAAACTCTAGATGACTAACTCAGCCCTATTCATCATAATTCAAAGTCAAGACTACTTTTTGGAAATTACTAAGATTGTCTTTGACGTAAAAAGATTATAAGTTTTAATGTACTTTACTCATATTGTTTGTAAATTTATGAAACCCCCAAACATTTTATCATTACTTTAGGATGGCTCACTAAGTAAATAAGACAAAAAATAACATCTTATCCTATTTACAAAAAGTTTATAAGAAATTTTACGTAACTTTTAAATGACGTTCCGCATGGCAGTCTTGACTTTTTAATCGATTTATTGGCCGGGAAGTAATTGAAGCAAAAAAGGATACATGTTGCAGTGATTTTATTGGAAACTTTATTTTATATATATATATATATATATATATATATATATATATATATATATATATATATATATATATATATATATATATATATATATATATATATATATATGTTTATAGATGATAGTTATCACTTTTCATCAGGTGAACTGTCAACTTGTTTGTTATTTTAAGTATCTTAAAAAATATAGATAGAAACCAGTTTGAGAGTTTATCATCGAGTTCAATAATATGCAAGTAGAATCTTTTTTTTTAATGTAATAACAATCAGTTTAACTTACGTATAATTAGCTCGACAAAGTTCGACTAGTTTCGGGAACATTCGTGGCCCTTAATCAAGAGTGATTATGACGCAAACGTGAGCATTACTGCGTACCTCGTTCTGCTGAGCTATAGCCGTTTGCAGTACCGTCACAATTAAAAAGATTGCATTCGGAAATCTTTGGGCATAAACGGCTGGGCTCCCTAGTCTTCCTTTTCGCCTAGGCGACTAGACTAGAAGAAAAAAACTATAATGTGTACTTACGACACTTTTAACAATAAAACCTTTTTCTTGACGTTCAATCACCATAATCTAATTTAGGTGCGTCTCCACGAGCGAATGCTGCAAGAACAAGCTAAGAAGATGAACGTCAAATCCTTGGCTGCGAATAAGGAGGACGCTAACAGGAGCGTTGAGATCAGAATCGCTAAAGTAGCTTTTACCATCTTCTTCCTCTTCGTTTGCGCGTGGACACCTTATGCTTTTGTCGCTATGACTGGAGCATTTGGTGACAGGTACATATTTTATATTAACATATTGATATATACAAATCCAAGATGTGCAGACTTCAGTATCTCGTACTGAACATAGAGCATATTGTTTTCTAAATATTTTACTGGACTAGATGTTATCCTGCGGAAATCCATATCACTGGTTATTTGATTAAAATTATTTTGTTTAATTCCGCTACCATTAGTATGTGTGTGATTGCCAACACACGTACTAATGATAGCGGAATTAAACAAAATAATTCTAATTAAACAACCAATGTTTTCTAATCAGCTAGTGGCATTCGTGAACATTTTGAAATATTATTAAATATACTATAATATAACAACTTATATATAATTATATTCAGTAGGTGTTTTTAATGCGTAATACATATTTTTTCTTTTAAAATATTTATTTTTTATATTCTAAATACATTAAACAAAGCTACCTGTAAATAAACAGGTCATGCCAAGAAATCTTCCAATGCACCATACTACATTTTATTTTAAGAATATAATGTAATGCATTTTTATTTTAACAGGAACCTTTTGACGCCAGTCGCCACAATGATCCCAGCTGTATGTTGCAAGGTGGTGTCCTGCATAGACCCGTGGGTGTACGCTATTAACCACCCCAGATACAGGTAAAAATTTACATTCTACAATCTATATATATATATATATATATATATATATATATATATATATATATATATATATATATATATATATATATATATATATATATATATATATATATATATTTCGATTTTTCTTAGCCTATTCATTGTGGTTAGGTGACCCTAACTACCATGAATAGGCAAACTATCCTTGTTTTTTATTAGGAATCTGCATTTGTACTCAGCAATGCAATAACAATAAATTGTTATTAATCGAAAATTGTTATTCATAAACATTAATCATAATTTTATATGTATATAAACAGGGCAGAGCTTCAGAAACGGTTACCTTGGTTGGGCGTCCGCGAGCAAGACCCTGACAGTGTATCCACTACCACCAGTGTTGTTACTACACAATCACAAGCACAACCTACAACAGAAGCTTAGACAGACTGGATAAAATCAAGAATTGACAAAAAAAACTGACGGAATTTACAAACAAACTAGACAAAACTGATTTTTCTATCAATTTTATGGTATCATGGTAGAATTGATAAAAGAAAAGAGAGAACTAGCAGAAAAATAAAACAAAACTGATAGAAAAACTCCAAGAAATGGGAACAAAACACTGATTGCGTATCTATTACTGCACAGTCACAAGTACAGTCTACAACAGAAACTTAGACTAACTTAACAAAATCAAGAACTGGTAGAAAACAAAATAAATCTTATGGAAAATAACTCAGAATTGATAGAAAAACAAGACAGAACTGCTTTTTCTGTTAGTTCTTTTAATGATAGAACTAGTATACAGAGAGACCTGACAGAAAAACAAACCGAATATAACAAAAAACACGATAAAATTGGTACAAAGGAAACTGGTAAAAAAAGAAACAAAAATGGTATGAACGAAACTGGTAAAAATTCCAAAAAAGAAACATAATTAAAATCTACCTAATGAGTAGGTTGTACGTAAAAATATTTTATAGTCATTAAATTAAGTCTCTATTTTCGAACTAAATTCATAATTTGAAAGACATAACAAAACACGCGTATGAAACAGCTAACAGTTTGTTTACATTTTGTTCAAATAATTTGCTTATTGATTTTTAATTAACTATTGTTTTTATCAGGACCCTTAGGGGATGATAGGCAGAAAAACTTACTTTGATTTTCATGTTACGTCTATAATACATTTAATAAAATTTTTACAATAGATAAAGCAATGCCTTGAGCTAATACAAGCTTTGCTTGTGAAGGAGCAATTTCCGATGTAATTCACCGAGGACTTGCCACCTGTACATCCACTGTGAACTTGCTACTTATATGTATGCTGTATACGAGTACAATTCAATTTATGTGCGTTATTTTAAATTCAATTACAAAGAATCATCTAGGCGGGCTCTAATTATATATGATTTATATTTTGTCAATAACCTTATGTCTCGTCTATAAAGTCCAAAATTATAATAAGAACAGGCACTTTGTTATCGAAATAATATTCCTCAATTAACCACAATATCGTCATAGCCGTAGAATACTGACGGATCTTTATATGTAATCTTTGTCAGATCCGTCAGTATTCTACGACTATGACGATATAATCAATTGTGGTAACTGCTTAAAGAAGATATTTAATTGTTTACGTATTAATCATCAAAATACCAACCGTTATTGTATTATTATTTTATTTACGAACAATAAGTATTAATACTTACAAAATATTTCGGATGAATCAATTCTTTTGCAGATACATTCAAAATGATTTACTATGACTAATGCATGTCTAACGGATATCGATTGAACAGATTTTTTATAAGTACTTAGTAATATTATTAAGAGGAAAAATACTGATCCCGACGAAATGGCTATTTTCTTACATTCATTTGATGTATATACAATATAAGATTTGCAAATCGTATTTTCTTTTATTTCTCATCCTACTTCGAAAAATACCTACTCCAGTCCATATACTTATTGACTGGTCAAAGGAATAATCAATAATCATATTATATTTTTATTCTAAGAATACAAAATTATTAAAAGGATAAGGAATTTACAAAATCTAAGCTTCACAAGAGTTGCATTCCACTAAGTAATGTCTTTTCTTACTATTTAAAATTTTTCGTATTTTTCTGAACTTGTAAAAAAGACCAAACTTGTAAGAAAATTTTGTTGAAAAGTTAAAGGCTGGTATGATGATGATGATGAATATAGACAAACGTTTTTATCTATACTTTTATACTAATGCCCAATGACGGCACACACCAAACAAAATTTCTTGTATAACATATGTACATATTAAAAAATTAAGTTATTACATATATATATATATATATATATATTGAAATTAATAAAGAACAATTATGTGCTTACACTTATTCATATCTATAATTAAATCCCTAATAAGGTTACTATGAAAAGATTATTTCCAATAAAGTCGCCATGTTGACCTTACTATGCCGTTTCCCAATAAAATAAAGACACGTAATACGTATACACATATGTATCTGTAGGGCAGAATGGAATAAAATACATTGTTCCATTTTGCCCTACAGTTATTGTGCCGTACCGTTCTCTTCCAACTAGACCTAAATACCGCGTCTTCAATCATTTCCGTTTACTGAACCCGTTATATCCCCTTTCTGTGGGACCTTATACAAATCCTTTTTATTCTTAAGGGATACATGCCTGTATATAAGTAATATGATACGTGGTCTTATAAACCTTACCAAATATAGTCATTACCAGCAGCATAAGATACCATGGCCGTCCGGGCTTGGCCAATATTATGAGGTTTCATTTCTAATTTTCCTCCTCTTGCACCGGGTCTTCAGTGATTTTTTCTCATAATCCATGAGGATGAATAACATGATAAATCGATTAGTGATATATCTGATGATGATGATCTATTTTAGCTATTGAACAATTTTTTTTTAAGGATGGAGATGGAATCGTATCCCCGCCTGCGCTATCGGTATACGCTGGCGGGGCACCAGTGAAGGGTGACAGGTGAGGATGAACGCAGGTCAGTTGGCCCATAGTGACCAATTGAACAAGAATTAACCAATATGGTTTCCAGGGGGAACCGCGTGGAGGTCGACCTTACAGGAGGATGTGTTGCCAGCAATGAGGTTGTGAAATCTCATTACTAACAATCCCTTTCCCCCCGCTATTGAACTATTTTGACTCTTCCTAATATGCTAAATTCTAAATTTAAAAGAAAGTGATGAAACGGTGTAATAGTTAAAATTGGTCTGTAAAAGGATTTAATGTTTATGAATAAAAGGGGTTAATCTGTATCCACATAAACCTCACATCTGATATTTCAAATTATTATAATAATTATTAATTTATATTATTAAAGATGATTGACACTCGCTTCGTGCTTCGGAATCATGTAATACCGTCGTCCGGTAAATCACGTTAGATGCCTTTACTTATATTTGTAATGAAAGCGGCCTGGAAACTTGACACCAATGCAAGCTTCATTTCTCCGGAGATTTTGATTTACAAGAAAAATTTACTTCAATCATAAAAAAATAGTATGAAATATTTAAGAATACATTTGTATAATTCTCGTTAAAATATGTATATATAAATATATATATATATATATATATATAGCATACGAATACTCGTATATAATTATTCGTTAACACAAAATTATAGATCAAAATATTTTACCTAAAATTCCAAAATGTTTATGATAAATTCATGATACTCTAAATTAAGATTGAGATGTCCCTTGATTTGTCCCTCCATTAGCGTTAATAAATTGGCTCGCTAGCTTGGTAGAAATATTCCTTGAACGTTACGACCAAGGCTATATTTTTAAATTGGAATGTAATTCTCTATCAACGCCGCAACCTTCCGTATATTCTACCTACCATAATAATGACCTCATATAGTCTGTCAGTCTATCTTCTACTCCCCAAAACATGTAGACGCATGTGTAGTAACACCGTCAATTCAATTAATAGTTAACTCAAAAAAAAAAATTTATGTGATAAGTTCGCCATTTGTATTTATTCTTTCCTTAAAATTTGGTATCAAAATTTGTATGTAAAAAAATAAACAAATCTATCAGTACCTACAGTTTACCACTTAAAAAATAACAAACCTCGGAATTACAAATATTTTAAAGTATTTAACTGTGAAATAATTCAGTATCACGTTCAGAGATTTTTCATTCTAAACTTTGACTATATAATACTTACGAGTATAAGAATTCTGCTTGTAAACAAAAACACAAAATAATGATAATAAAACCAAGTAGCTTATTTTTACTGCTTTATCGTGAACGGAGAACCATTGGGCCACTAATGAGGAGTAAAGTCCCCGATATTCATTTTCATGGCTGCATTTTACTTTGCCGCTATTTTGTTATGAAAAAAAAAGTAGTAGAATTTATATCAGCTCTACGAATTGATTGAAATATCTACTTAATAAGAATATTCCAGACAAATTATCATACTGAAGACTAGGCAGCATGGTTTCCGACCTTAGCCTGTTCCATAATGGAACAAGCGTACTTAAAAAAATTATTAAGAATGTCAGTAAATATATATTTTTTTCTTCTTACTGAAATTTTTGTTAACCCTTAAAAGACTATTATTTATTATGTAGGAAATAAACTTGTTATTTAATTAATACATATACAAAAACATCTTTTAATCTTTATTTTTTATCCTAATTATATTGTGCTTACAGAAGGTTACCTCAAAAAAAAAACTTACAAAAACCCAACAGTTAAGCTTTTTAAAACTATTAATATTCTGAATATTTTATATATCTAAAATAATTATTAAGTATTTAAAAACCTATTATTTAATCAAGTTTACTTGTGTTTAAAACAAAATAATGTATAGCTATGCAAAATAAATAACATTTGAACAATAACAATGTCATTCATAATCCTATTTCATAACTGTTATTAAATAACTAAATCTAAGTTCGGGAGCTCAATCCAAAATCGAATTTATCTGACCGACAGCAGTTTGGATATTTTTTTTTTATATTAGAACAAAATTAGCCAGGATAATTCCAGTCCAGTTTTCAAATTAATATGGAAAGCTCTATTTTTTTTTCCTAATTGTTCAACCTGTGTATATTTTAATAAGAATGCTAATTGCTGCTAATGATTTTGATTCTATTCAGTATCAAAATGCTATTAAGATATAAAACAAAACAAACGATACACCATTAAGTCTATTCTGAATGCCTAACTACCTGCCATTATGATATTGAATAACTGCCTACGATAGCGCAATGCGAAAACTTTTCAGTTTCAAGTATTCGTCTACATTTCACTTTAATTTAAAATCGCTTCTCACCTAGCCTTTCCGAGAGGAGTCGGTACCTACGTAATTAAACTGAAGATATTTCTTTCCCCTCTCCCCTGACCCAGATCGTTCTTCTAACTGTTTGTTTGAAAATTAAGGAGTAATGTGCTAAATTATGCTTTCGCCTTTTTTTGCTCTTTGAATTTTGGTGGTGATCAATTAACGCCGCAAAGGTTTATAATGGCGAATTCAATTCATCACGCCCCTCTCGTCTGTTCGCACTTGTAAATGGCTAATTAAATTTGAACTTGCTATCAAGAACGTAACAGCAAGATTTATGTTAATGCTCCTAACGACGCTTGCATGTGTTATTATAATTGTTGCTACAAATGAGTAATAAACTTATACAGACGCGACTGTATACCTTTTTCAATTCAAATACTCGTTTAGTCAATGCGTTTGACGACTTTATGTAGCGATATAATAAACTGCCTCACCTTTCATGAGTTCCGAGTTCGATACCCGTATGTTGGTATCTATTTAAGAATAATTTATTTAAACATTTTTGTCTGTTTTATCAATTATCTAGTACCCATAGTATAATCTGTAAATTAGAGTCGAGCAACTTATTTATTACAAACTAAGTTGACCATTTTGTTTTGTTTAAAAATTCATGAATTCATTTAACTTCAAATAAATACGAGGACGAAGTTACAGACACACCTAGTCCTCAATAAAGGAGGGAAAGGATTTTTATGCAACTTAGAATGGCAAACAAGCCGACGGCCTACTTAAAGGAAAGTGGTAACCGTAGCCTATAGACATGAACAGTACCATGGCCATAACAGTACTCTGTTTAACCCTATAATACCCTCCATGACATACGTTGCCATCCCTGTTCAAAGTGAAACACAGCCAAGCAAACACAACTGCTTCACAGCATAAACACGAATAGATTATTATAAAATTAATACCTGATTGGGATTATCGGCTCCATTGTTTTATAGCAGATTAGAGCAAATTGACCTTCACGCTATTCCCCTGGCGCACTAAATGTAGATCATGCTTAATTTTCAATCGACTTCAAAAAGAAGGAGGTTCTCAATTCGATTGTATTTTTTTTGTTTGTTACCTCATAACTCCATTAGTTTTGTATGAACCAATTTGGAACATTCTTTTTATCTGAATGGATATATAGATTAGTCCTTATTACCTACACGAGTACCTCAAGGAAGTATAATTAATCGCCTGCACACAAACTAGAATCTTAATTAGTTCTTGTAAAGCTTACAACCATGAGGCACTCACCAAGAGTGGTGCCAGAAAACAAAACTGTCGCATAATCTGCTTGTTGTTAGCAAAATGAGAAGTTCGCGAACTCATTAAATGTTGTAACTTGCCCGTAAGCCTCGAGGCGCGGTCGCGTACATTACATCCCTTTGTATAACGTAGAAGAGACACTTTATTTGACATACGACCATAGTACGTACGCGTTATGAATTCCTGATATAGCTACACCAACTACGTTATGAGGTTCGTATTCATATTTGCTATGGGGTAGCTGCTATACAAGTTTAGCTGCATTAGGTACTACGTAATATCTAATATACCAAGTCTTAGATTATATAGATAGAGTTTCTTCATACAAATGATTCGAGACAAACTGGTCAGCTTTTTCATACAACTTTGCATAATAAATAGTAATTCTTATAACTTCTATATTTATTTTGTTTTATTATTTCTGCACCTTTTTAATGCGTAAAAACTTATTTTATTTATTAAATAAGTAATTGAATATAGATACGTCAAGATAAATTGTGTGCGTAAGTAGCTACAATAAACACGGATAAAAAAACGAGTCAGTTAATTTGACAATAAGCTGATAAAAAGTTGACCCGTTTTTGAGACTCGATGCTCTATCTATATAATCTAAGACGTAGTATATTCTAAAATCACAAATCGAAACTTTGCACTAGTAATATATACTTACATGTATATCTATCACGCCTGTCTCCCATTACTACTACCAACTATGTATTATTATATCAGCCATTACTGTCCACTACTGGAGATAAGTCTCCCCCATAAGGAGTGTTGCCAATAGTTGCCACGATAGAGAATCGCAGTTAGACTTTGGTGATGATATGTTGATGAGATTGTACAAGAGACGCTGTTGCCCATCTTTCGACTATTAAATTTCCTTAGTCGCCTCTTACGACACCCATGGGGCAGTTACCCGCCAGCTTTATTGGTTTACATAGCAGGGTACCAATGAGGGATTATGGTATGTGAGAATGAAGTCAATTGGCTCATCATGACAAATTCACCAGGAATTAACCAGTTTTCCAGAAAAGTTGTTAAAGTATGGAGTAGCTACCATTATATTGATAAGTACATACTATTTTAATCTTTGTATAGTTTTTTTAATGGATGATAATTAAATGGAATGGGGAAGGCTTATGTCCAGCAGTGGATGAATACTGGCTGAAATGATGATGATGAATAGAATGGTAACCCTGCCTGTGCTAATGGTATACACTGGCGGGGCACTAATGAGGGATGATCGGTGAGAACGAAAAGGCAGGTCAGTTAGTTCATCATGATGAATACACGTGGAATTCAGCATAATCTTTGTATACTATGAGCAATGCTGATATTTTAAGCCTGGTCTTAATTAATTAATCAATAATCATTAAAATTGAAAATTGACAGTTTAATTCAAAATAAAAATTTTCATCTTAATAAATATGTTATAATGTAGAAAAAAAAAATTTTTCATAATAAAAATCTTTTAAAAATTCTTTCGCCTACAAAAAATCTACATTAATAGCGAGTAATATGGGTTGTATTTTATTTAAAAAAAAGCATGCGATCTCAAAGCCAGGGAGGGTGGTCGCTAATAATAAATAAAAATAGACATATATTAAAAATGTTTTATTCAAATCAGGCAACGCTGCATCACTTAAAATCTAATCTTTTTTTACAGTAATTTCAAATACAGAATACAGTTTATGGAATGTAGATAATTATTTTTAAAACGATACATTATGAAGTCAACTACAAAAAAGTATTGGCGTGTAATGTTCACACATAAAAAAACATCAAACAATCTCACGTGTAATTCTATGTTGCCAATATCTAAATTATTTTAAGAGTAGCAGACTTCATAGCGAATCGTAACAGTTTAAAGTAAAAAAAATCACACTGAGTCTAAAAGCATAACAAGTCATGTTTATAAAAAAAAAACCTTATGAGATAAATAAAAAGTTGAATTTCACACTAACTTATTTACACATCTTAAGTTTTGCGTTATTTCGAAAAACAATTTTATAGGTACATAAATCGTTTCCCTACTTTATGTCAACTGAAAACAACAAATTAAACACTTTCTTTTAATCATTTTGAAACTTTTTTTTAATACTCTTTGAGGATGCAAGTGGATTAAATTCTTATATTAACTATTTATTTTATTGCAGTAATATTTATTTTTTTTCGTTGATTCACATACGACTCACCAATCACATTTAATTCCAAAATACCATAAAAACTCTTTTAGATAATTACAGAATTCTATAAGATTAATTAATTCTCATGCGCTGAACTAAATGATCATATTTTGGGGCTTCCGTTTTAGTAACATAATGAAGGGAAACTAATATTAAAATAATACACACGGGCGATTATAAATGTCTCATTGTAATAAATTTAACGTCTCATTCAATTTCTCGATAGTACATAGCGTGCGACAGTAAATATGCAAATAATGTGGAAATTATCTTTTAACTTGTGTTTATTTTTTAACTACATATAGATAATAGATTTTATTTTAAATAGATCCGAATATTCCGTGGTAATGGTAAAAAGCAAATTAGGTTGCAATATTGCTCAAAACATGCTTCTAAGAATTATCGCAAAGCTGATCGTATCGAATATAAAAATAATATATATCGTAACACAGCGCCATCTGGCCCGAAAGTAAGCAGAGCCTGTACTGAAAATGTGAATTAACTATCAACTGAGATGCATGCTCGGCCTAGTTCGGTGGCTAGTAGATTTAACTAAATGTAATTTCGTTTGACAGTTATTATTATTATTATTCCGATATGAATTTCGGGAAATTTAATTCTCATTTACATTATATAAGGGACTTCTGCGCAATAATTTCAGCATAGGCTTATTTAAGATGGGGGAGTCGGGTAAGCCGTGCCCATCTCAGAATTGTCCGGGACCGAACTCAGGACTAGGAGTGGAAGATTCAACTATGTATAAAGGTACATACTAGCTTTTTCGAAGTCAGGTCCTCCCTGGAAAATAATTTTAAATATACCAATAAATTTCAACTGGATAAGTCAAATTTCCATTTACATAATAACTTAATCTCGCGGTTTGATCCTCACGAAACAGGAAGGAGTCCTACGTGTTATGATATGGTCTATGTATGTAGGAAACATTAAAATCCTTCCAGCGTCAATCGTTTAAATACGATTCAGTAACAAAGTACCAACATCTGAATATGTTTACAAACTCTTATATAATCCAACAACATGATATAGTTGTAACATGTTTTATAATTTACAGTTGCAGTATTTTATATAATTTATTATAGGGTTTTATAAAAGAAACATAATTTGTCGAACGGCCCGTGGTCAAATGGTGGCACTAAATGTTATGAATCTTTTTTAATGGATGCCCATAAGCGTCCAATTTATGTCACAATAAATAGGAGTATTATCCACACGCAACGACACGAATTTCGGGCGGTCGTCACCTTCACATATCCCTTTATAGTGTACTGAACAAAGAGTTTCAACGTATACTGGTATACGATTTATGAGGTTTTATTTTCAAATTCAAAAATATATCTTTATAATTTAGTTGTCCTACTTCCAATGATTAACAAAGTGAAGATTTAAAGTTATGTATATATTCATACAAGATTTTTCGTTATGGGTCTAAATAATTTTTTTTAAATATAAATTTTGGAATTTGTGTGACTACAAATCATTAACACAAAATTTAAAATTACGAGACATACAAAGTTAAAGAAAAATAAATCAGTAATATATTGCCAAAGAAAGAAATTTAATAATTTTTAGGTATATGTTCTACCTAAACCATATATTTTGTATGTAACATACGTAAGCATGCAACATACAAAATGTAATCCTAAACAGCTTGATGACTTTTAGTAAAAGAGTTGTTTTGAATTTATCTTAATTATGGAAATGCTATGGGCTACATGACGCCATGATGACAATATAAACTGTAACTTGATCATGTCTTTACATGGGAGATATTTTAAAAAGAAATCCGTATTGAGTAGCCAAAAGTATGATATTTAGAAATTTTGTCTGTCTGTATGTTTGTTACAGTATTACTTAAAAACTATTGCACCAAACATTACTTAAAAACTATTGCACCAAATTGGATGCAATATTCATAGTTGTATTTCTGAAGGCTTAACTTAAAATCTGGTATATGTGTTATTTTGAATGTTTTTTCGCCATCTAGAAGTGATCCATATCATTGAGTTTCCGTCTACTGAAATCCATGCGTATGAAGCAGTGAGCAAGAAGCTAGTATTATTTTAAAAATATCTGCCCGAGGTTAACATTATGGTCATTACAATGAGAAATTATGTCACCTATATATAACGTCATTTGCAAACTAAGATCGATGTTTGTTGCGGTTTATGCTCTGAAGTAGACGACGAGCCCACCACTCCTCAAGATTGAATGGTCTGAAGTTAGCAAGATTCCGGGTCCCCATGGGATCTTGATAGTATCTCGCCTCTTCTGTGTTTATATCTTGTCTCACCTGGTAATGAATAGAGATATACTTTATAAGTAATATGTATTAATAATACAGTGGGCAATCATAAGCGTTCATGTTTATTTCAAACTCAACACAGATCAATTGACTTATCGAACACAGATTAATATTAATTATAGATACAATTATTAAGTGCCCCATATACTACACCTTTCCCTTATGTAAAGTATGTATGTTAAGTAGTGTAGTCTTTACAACTACATTAATTTTCATTTTGGAAATTTGTAAAGCCATAGACGAACAACAACTTGTAACTAATAAACTCCAAGTATCTAATTACTCTACATCGGTGTTTCCCAACGTGGAGCCCACACCCCACAGGGGGCCAATTTGATAGTTTGGCAATAAAAAATGGATTTTAACCCTCTTGCTCTGTGCCATTTAAATTTTTAAAAGATTTAACAAAAAAAAAATAAACTAAAAAAATGCTGAAATATTTATTAGATATAATTTCGTTAGACATTACCAAAATACCAACTGGGCAATTAGAGTCGTCAAGTAAACTTTGTTGGGAAAAATTATGTATGGGAGAATAAAAATTTTAGAAATGTTCAAGTGGGGTATGGCACAAAAAAGGTTGGGAAACACTGCTCTACATACTAACACCCAATGATATCAGCCCATTCCTCAGTTAGTGGGGTATGATATCTTCATCTGACAAATTATCTTCTAACTTCATTACTTTAGGCAGGTGGTTTGATTTTGTGCAGTTAGTCAACATATCTGCCATGGATCATGCCATTACCTCACCACCATAGAGGAATGGTGCTTCTTTAACAACCACTACTCCATGTTGCCATTTGTCATATTATATATTCGTCATAAATCATGATCGTCAACTATAAATATTTTGTTTCCTTACACTCTTGCCACCTTTTACTCCTTCGTCTCGTCACTAATTACATCTGTAGACAGTGAAGAAGTTGCAGTTCTAAATTTCCTGCTGTTCCATCTCTCAGCGGGTGTCTTGCCTGCCATAGTGCTTGGTACATTACACATATGAAAGAAGACAGACTATACACCAATCATAGACCAAGCTATATGAATATTTTTTTTTCATTTTGTCTTTTATAATCTATATAGTATGCTCCATTTGACCAATTGTGGATGGATAGTAAGGGACTCCTATTATATGTTTAATGTGATTCTGCTTTAATTCTTGAAATTTTACAAGTACATGGGTTACCTGTACTACTAGTACAAGCAATTCATGATCAGCAAAGACTTTCTCTATGGTCATAACTACTGCACTACTTGCCATATTCGGCAGTATTTCAATGCTAGGCTATTCACTGTATGAGTCAACTATTACCAAACACGATTTGGTATTAACGGTAATGACTTCTATTGGCTCATCCCTCTGGGCTCATACATCCAGGACGACAACATGATTATCCAAAAGAACATGCTGATTCCCTTGTAACTTATTTTCTTGTATACATTTATAGTTTGGCGCACATTCCACTACCTTAATATCGTTTAATTTCTCAAGCTTTATTTTAATTAGTTCTCTTTAAAAGGTTTCATTTCACACCCCAAATATAATTTATTCTATTATACATTTGTCAAAATCACTGAATCAACAATGAGAGCTGTAGTCTTGTAACATCACAGCTAAATTCATGATGGATTCACCTGGTTTTTGTTTTCGCATGTAGAATTTTTCCATTTTCAATGTATAGTTTTTAAGTACACTTACTAACGAAAAGGGAAAGTTGTTTAAAAATAAATAAAAACAAATACAGGAAGGGGAGTTGAAATGAAAAATTTGTCAAGCAATGCAATAATATTTTCTGAGGATTTTGAAATGGCAATATCAAAATTATTAATGTATGTATCTTCTTTACTCTATTGTGACATAAACAATGCTTGTTCTTGTTCTCTGTAATTTTCCCATTTATCCCTGTATGGGTCGAATTTATGCCAGCCATGTGATATTTAATATGTCACACACAGCCATTTCACGGTTTATTCATCCCCCATATTATATATTATTAAAACAGTGAAAAATTATAAGTATTCATGTTTAAACCCCTGATGATATTTGATCTGTGATGAGGGGCATCACAGATTAATTGACTTATCAAATACAGATTAACATTTTTTATACATAGATACAATTATTAAGGTCCCCATACACTACAATAAGTATTCTTTTTATTACTTAGTGCTTTAAATTAACTTACAACCAATTTAATAGAAAGTGATATCTGTAACCTATGAATCCATAAAGAACCACAGACATTACAGAATACACTGTGATGACTGTGGTATAAGAGATGTTATGCATTCATTTTCCTGTAATTTCATGTCTGTTTGTATTAGTCTGGATGTTTGTTCTCTATGTATCTTTTAAACTGACTTTAGAAAAAGAAGTTTCTCAATTCTGTAATATTTTTTGTTTATTACTTCATAACTCTATCATATGTCAAAAAAGTACTTAAAGTATATACAACAAATATACCAGCACTATTAGTTTGGATCTAGGTAGACTGTATAATATATTAAAGAGCATTAATATAAGAGAGCATATTAGATGGATTCTATTTACCTTACTCCAAGATTCATATATATAATTAATGAGATCTTCATGCTGATTGTTGTGCTGTGAATTGGCCTGTGATGTCTGGGCTGGTGGACTTAGTCGTGCACTGTTGTGTCCATTTCCATTGTGGCCGTTATCTCTATGGCCATTTCCGTTATGCCCATTTCCATTATGACGTTTATTCCCACTCATATGTGGTAGTGATCTTGATCCACTGTTCAAGTAACTTGATCTGTAATTATTGCATAAAAAGGAGGTAAGTATTATAAAATTTAAAATAGATTTTGTAATAACATACATAAAAATGTGGTAATACATGTGTTGTTATTTAGGGACTGAGCATTCTTTTTTTATAATGAATGGAAATGGAATGTCTATATCTATTCTAACATTAGTATGAAACTCCCATTTTCATACTAATGTTAGAATACCAGTGGAAGAAGAAATTATAAGAATGAAGGCTGGTCTTCTGGCTCATAATTTCAAATTCCAGAGGAAGTAATCATCATGGTTTCTAATAGCAAACTCCTGAGTATTGGACATCAAACCTCTCCACTGCAATGACTAGAGCATTTTTAACCAAATAGACCAATACTAATAATAATAACCAAATATTAAAATTCATTAATAAGCCTAAAGAAAAAAGGAGCAAGTTCTCACTGCAATAGTACCAATTTGCTATAAAACTTGCATTTTATGATGGCAATAATTTTGCTGTAGTGAAGTCTATCCTATACCCAGGTATACTGTCACCATATATAATTTCATCAAAATATGTTTTGGTATAATGCATATCGGTGTTATAAGTATTTCCTACAGCTGCAGCCAATAAAACTTAGAATGTTATATACCTATAAGTTTTCTAAATAGTATAAACAATTATACATTCTATATTATATATCCTTTTCTCAGAGGATTTCAGTTGGAAAGAATCTCTTTGACACATTTAAATTATTTATGGAGAGAGAAGGTTTGATTTTGTTCCACACTAATATCCACAAATACATATCTGTATAACAAAAGCAGACTCATTCTGAATGCAAATGAGGTGGACGTTATCCTTTCATAATTATAAAGCAGAATATATTTAAAAATATATTTTTTGTGGTTTTCCATTACTATAAATATGGAAGTATTAGTTTAATGAGCCGACAATCATGAGTCAACAATAAAATAAGCATCATTCAGAGTAAATTATATTGATAACGTACTTTAATACCGTGTTACTCGTTACTGAAATTTTAAATGTATCAGATGCATAGCATCACAAAGCATTGTTACGCAGGCTGTGTCAACATACAATATATTTCCGATTGTTTATGATAAAAATGTATCGATAGCATTGTTACATATATACACATATAGTTAAACATAACGGGAATTACAGGGATATGTGCACGCAAAAAGAAAACTGAATTATCTAAAATATTTTAGAATCAAACACGTTTTCATATATCATTATTATTCCACATCACACTAGTCCGTAAACTAATGCGCGAAAGTAATTGTAATAAGAGAAAGGAAATGCTGATGCACCTACCTCATATTGTTTCGGTCCATATTTCAAAACACAATTCAGTTCTCTATTAATATTCCTATCCTTATTTAAAGTCCCTACGTACAAATAAAGTAAAGTAAACTTAGCTTAATACATTTGTAATAAACGAACTTTAAAAAAAACTGTAAATAATAATACTTGATTTTAAAGATAAACACAGAAAGAGGACGCCATACAACAACACGACACAGCAAATGTCATTCTGTAATCTCTGTCAATAATCATCAGCTAATCATTCGCCACCATTGCACTTCCGTACATAACTTCTGTGACGTGATTGGTTCTACAAACACTACATTTTAAGTTTTAGCCAATAATACTAAAGAGTGTTGATTACGTCAATGTCACCACATTAAATATCATTGGCTACTTGATATTCTACAACTTGCTGTAGAACATTTTTATTACCGATAGCTATATCCTTTTTAGTTGATGGCCATAAAACAAAAATGCAACTATTCTCAAACACAGACATATTCTTAACACTATATAATTTTAATATCTAATGTACAGATAAACATTATATAATATATGGTTTACATGAATCGAAGTAAGTACTTTTTATAATTGTAAATATTAACCTTTTGTTGTACAAAAATAAATTAAATTCTTTTTAGAATTATTAACCTTTAACCGTGTATCGACATCTATAGGCATAATCCTAAATCTATGCCTATAGTCTAAGAACAAGAAATTACATGGAATGATTTCTCATTTCTATTTTCCTATTTTATTTTAATAAAAACTGTAAATTATATGGTTGTCTTCTTTCTTCTTATGCAAATATAATTAGTAAAAAGAGGACGAAAGATACACCATCAGTTGCTATTTTTGTCAATTCATAGCAGGCTAGTGTATTTTTTTTTAATGGGTATAAATGGCTTGGTAACCCCGCCTGCGCTATTGGTATACACTGGCGGAGTACCAGTGAGAGGTGATAGGTAAGGATGAAAAGGCAGGTCAGTTAGCCTATTATAACAAATTCAACAATACATTAGTTATGATAGTTATAGTGATAGTCAGGGGGAACCGTGTGGAGGTCGACCTGATAGGATACATTCATAGCAACGGGGACTAACCTCCTCATTACTAACAATCCCTTCCCCCTAGGCTAGTGTATAAAAAATTAAGAACAAGCAATTACATAGAAAGTGTGATAAATTAAAAACTGTAAATTGCCCCCTTTCTTCTTATGCAAATATAATTAGTAAAAAGAAGACGCAAGATACACCATCAGATACTATTGTTGTCAATTCATAGCAGTTTAGCGTACAGAAAACTGTTATAAGGCCGTATAAGTCTACCAAATTCAGATACAACCTACTTGCATACTAATTGACATATCAAACATTTTCTATGTTATATATATAACACACTACTAACTTCATTATATGAGTTTTATAATCCATCTATTTTATTCTAAAATTTAAACAGTCATTCAATTTATTTTGTCACTCAATTATTACGTCAATCAATTCATAAATTTTTTTAGATTTTTTTTTAAAGCCTGCATCACTATGAGCAGAAAACTTTTAAAAAGATTTGTGTAACCTCTACATTTAATCTGAAAATTATACACATCAAAGTTTTTGATTTTTTTTTATAAATCTTATTGATATTTCGAACTGAAGCATACTGTAAATAACTTTTTAAATATCTAAGTTATATAATTATACAACACTTAAATATTAATTTCATTTATTATGTTGATACTTTTTAATGGTTGCATACATTCACTTTCCAGTTTCGTCAAAATATAAACAGTGTCGACTATTACGATTAAGTACTCTAATTTTGATTGTATTTGCAAAACTATTTGTATTTAATCTTTTCTAATTCTCTTAAATAATATTCTTATACAAACAGAACAGTAATGAGATAAACCTATTTTTGTACTTGTAGAATAATAATATATGCTACAAAAGATGTCTGATAAATTAGGATTTGAAGAATTGAGAGCGAAATACAAGGTGAGCAGTGTGCACTAACAAGCCGATTCGGAAAACTTCATTATTTGGTTTTCTATTCATTCTCTTCTGTCTGTTTTTAGGATGTGCTCTCCAAAGCCTTTGCTACAAATAATATAGATTTACTTGACTCGTTTTCTAAGAATACGAATGAGACTGATAGAAAAGCGGCCATGGATCAAGCCTACAGGGATAAATTACTGGAATTGCTGATAGAAGACCCTGATACTCTTGAATCTTATGTTTGTTTCTGCATAGAGTCATGTAGACGGCAAATGGTAACTCCCACAATGCCAGTTGTTCTTCTTGGAGACATATTTGATGCACTTACACTGAACAAATGTGAAAAAATGTTTACATACGTCGAAAATGGTGTAAATATTTGGAAGGAGGAACTGTTTTTTATTGCATGCAAGAACAACTTGCTTCGAATGTGCAATGACCTTTTGAGACGTTTATCGAGATCACAAAACACTGTATTCTGTGGACGGATCCTACTGTTCTTGGCAAAATTCTTTCCATTTTCTGAGAGATCTGGCCTGAATATTGTTTCGGAATTCAATCTTGAGAATATAACAGAATTTGGCGGAGATAGTTCCAGCACACTTAAGGACTCTTTAGATGAGGAAATGGTGATTGATGATGAAAAAAATAAATTAACAATTGATTATAATTTATACTGTAGATTTTGGAGTCTCCAAGATTTTTTCAGGAACCCAAATTCGTGTTACAACAAAATACAATGGAAGACATTTGTTGCAGTAAGTAATTTATATCTTTCACTCCTTAATATTACTTAAATAAATTTATGGGATACCTTTGGTATTTATTCAGTTCTCTGTAAATATCATGGACAGGAGAGAGTGTTTTTATTTATTAAGGATCAGCAGATTACCTTTGTCTATGTACTTTGTACTTTGCCTATGTAACCAATGTTCACAGATTGGGATAAAATGTAGCAGTATAAGATATACAGGCACTATACAGGATTAAAAAGACATATTTTTAATCCTATATAATGCCTTTATACCAAATTTCATAGATATTTGTTAAGCAGCTAAGATGCTAAGAGGAAAGAAACAAACTTTTATGTATATACTTAATATTAATATGTTAAGAGTTTTTCAGTAAATACACTGAAATATAAATATTTTTTGCTTTTATTAACGATTTATGGGATAACAACATAAATAAATTACACTAATTTTTGAAAACCTATAATGTTTTTATACCACTGAAGTACCAAACAGTCATATGATGTTAAGCAGAGGCCCACTGATGTTAAGGCCCACCTGATGTTAAGCAGATTCATAGCATTGTCGATCCTGAGGAAATCTTTTTACCCTTTTTATAAGAACCCGATTATGTATTTAAAACTTCTCATCTTTTTATTTATAAGTTTCACTAACATTACATTAACATTTACCAGATGGATATTTTGTACAAAAGTTGTTTGCTTGGGTACCTCTGTCCCATTCGTGTTTCTACTATGAATCAGTTGTTTTTGCATGGCTATGTTTCGGTTTGAAGGGTGGGATATCATGGGATGGGATAGGGGGGTTATCATGGGCGAAGCAGTATACTCTGTTATGTCCATGGCATCGCTCATGTCTATAGGCGATGGTTACCACTTTCAATCAGGTGGGTCGTCAGCTTATTTGCTAATCTAAGTTGCAAAAAAAACTTTATTTATCATTAACATACTGCCATAGATTTTATTTGGTGTTAAATTTTCAGCATTCAGGCAGTGTGCTATCAGCATTTTCATCATACAAGTTAGAAGCTGTTGAACTGCAGAAATCTAAGATGAATAGATTGAAGGCTGTGACCTCAGATATTGAAATGGATGAGTCAAGCAAGGAACAACACTATTTTGCTAAATTCCTCACTAATCAGAAGCTACTAGAACTCCAGTTATCTGATTCCAACTTCAGAAGATGTGTACTAATACAGTTTCTTATACTGTTCCAATATTTGACATCAACTGTTAAGTTTAAAATGTAGATATCTATTTTTTTTTTATTATGTATATTTTATCTTAATATGCCATCTAGAATTGATTATTTCATTGTTTTTTTTTTTTTTTCTGAAGTCCATGCATATGAAGTAGCAGGCAAAAAGCTAGTTCTAAATAAAAAGCTCATTCTCGTAACAATTATCAAATTTTAATCAAATTTAAAAATTTAAGGATAATAAAATTACAAATATCTTAAGGTCTTAACAAATTTTTATGGTAACAATATTAGACAAAAATAAGAATGTTATAAATTATTTCAGGATTAAAAATCACTTCTCCTAGTTAGCATATATTTTTAATAAAATTTCTCATGTGCAAGTCTCACCCTACACCAGTTTATTAGAAAATTCTGTTGAAAGTGGCTAATTAATATAATTACCACCAAAAAGTGTATTCCCATCCTCATGATATAATAAAAAAAATTGTATAACAACTGTAAACTTTACTTTTATTTATAGGGAATCTCAAGAATTAAAACAAGATCAAATGGAATGGGTTAAAGAGACAACTTCTTTGATATACCGCTTACTAGGGGAGACCCCACCAAATGGAAAGCAATTTGCTGAATGTGTCAAGTACATACTTAAAAGGGAGGAACATTGGAATAGCTGGAAAAATGATGGCTGCCCAGGTATATTATACTATCATTATAAAACAACAACTTCTTCCTTGTGATATATAGAGAGATGAAAAGAGATATTACTAGAACAAAAAATGTAGTTGATGATAGTTTATTTGCTTCATTCAAATTGTATAAGTGTTCAAGCTCAGTTAGGCCCATTTTATTTATCATAACTGATTGATCTTCTCATATATAACAGGTACCTACTTGTTTTTTTGGTCCTTCGAGCCGGATTTGCATTAACGAGGATATATTATTATACCATATTCTATAGAAATGGTTTATAAATGTGCTGTTTGTATATTTGAAAACAAGTATTTTAAATTATAACTAAGAATTCCAAATGCAACCATGTGCCCACTACTCACCAGCATGAATGTAATGTATAAATTAATATAATGCTTAAATTTTAGAATTTCAGAAGCCAAAACCACCACCTCAGGTTGATTCAACAGATGAAGTAAAAAAATCGAGAAAACGTAGGAGACCAGTGGGTGACATAATAAGAGAATATGAAAGCCAAAATAAATATTACATGGGCAAGTATGTATCTAAGTAGAACTAGTGACGCTTATTACAAATGCTATGTCATTATCGGTGACAGTTCAGGCAGACCATGTTTGACTATGGTTATTGCCATATTTAAGATTAACTTCCAATGGAAAGGGGCGGGTTTCTCTTATTGAGAAGGCCTCTGTTTAGTAATGGATACTTAATGATGATAAAAGCTCAATTTATGTATTTATAACATATTATGTAGCACCGTAAATTTGGACTTCAAATACGGCTGACTGTGGTCTGGGGATCCCAAAATTGAACACTAACATAAATATCTGAATCTTCTAATTCATTTTGGATCATTCAAAAACTATTCCAGCTTGCTTCATATTTCGGAGGGCAATACAATTATCATCAAAATTATTTCAGAATTTTACAACACCAGAAATCATTTATCCTCAAATCAGTAGTAATAGTAGATAGCATTATCGAAAATATAAAAATCATGGGTCTGGTGTAGTTGATTTCTTTTAAAGACAATAATAATATAAAATCTGTAGCCTTGGCCTTGTCCATACTTTCTTACTTATAATGACTTGTTCCAAATTTCATCGAATGTTTAACAATGATAATATATTGTTTTTCTTTATTTTTCAGCAATGAACTGACAAAGCTATGGAATTTATGTCCAGACAATCTAACCGCGTGTCGTACTAAAGAGAGAGATTTTATGCCTTCTTTAGGTGGGTTTTGAAATTGTAAATATTTTAACTGGAAAACAAGTTTTGTTTACATAAAAATAATGTTAAAATAACAACAATGAAGTAACATACACAGTACTAGTCTTTTCTATGGGGCTGTTAAACACCATTACTAATAATCCTCCCCCCCCCCCCCCTCATTTTAATGTTGTCAGAATCGTACATGTTGGGCGAACATGGTGGAAGTGGCAGCAGTAAAACCAAGCGAACGGCGGACGGAGGGTGGGGCTGGCGGGCATTGCGGCTTCTGGCACGGCGAAGTCCTCATTTCTTTGTCCATACCAATAACCCTATTGGCCGCCTGCCGGACTACCTCGATGACATGGTCAGTTATATAAATATAAGAATATAACAGTATTACATAATACTTGTATCGTTCAGTGCCGTTGGTACAGATTGTTTTTTTTTTTTTCGAAAATTTTGATAATATACATAATTAACATACTGTATGATTTTTACTAATGTAACCCATTCGTGTTTCAATCGTGAAGCAGTTGTGTTTGCATGGCTCTGTTTCGGTTTGAATTGTGGGATATAGCGTGAATTTACTGGGTACAGAGGAATAACATCTGAGTCCTCAGGAATGGCAACGCATGAGGGGTATCATGGGCGAAACAGTATACTCTGTTATGTCCATGGTACTGCTCATGTCTATAGGCGACGGTTACCACTTTCCATCAGGTGGGCCGTCAGCTTGTTTGCCATTCTATGTTGTATAAAAAAAATAAAATAAAAAAAAAAAACTGTGAAAGTGTGTTTATTACTTGATAGTGCTTTAACGACTTAACTAATGTAATAAATGGAAAATCATTTAGGCTATTAATAAGTTACGAGCAAATATATATATATATATATATATATATATATATATATATATATATAATGAACGCATGGACTTAATGCGATAAATGTTATATGTACATTGTGTTCAGGTTGAGCGCGTAACACGCGAGGTGGCTGCAAACGCAGCAGCCAACAACACAAACGGAGAGTCTTCTGGTGGCAGCATCGATAAGACTCTGAAACAGGTAATGTTGCATCGTCATCATCATCTTCATCTCAGCTATTATTCGTCCACAGATGAACATAGGCCTCCCCCATAGACTACCATAGAGAACGGTCCTGAGCCACCTGCTTCCAGCTTACTAAGTTACTATTTACTAATAGTAGTTATAATTATTTCAACCATTTTGTTTAAACTCGTATAAAGAAATGTGTTCGATATTTAATTGATTATTTGCATGAATTTTCAGTATTCTTTCTGATTTTTTTTAAAGTACTTAATTTTAACATCTTAATAATAAAAGAAAACATTTTAATGATTCTTTAGAATTATTAACACGACGATCAATGCTTTTTATTTTTATATTTTTAAAATTAAATTCTCATGCCTATATAAATATTGATTTCAGTTTGTTGATTCCTGAAATATCGTAATGTATAATTTTTTTTACTACTCAAATATACAGAACATTAAAAAATCTTGCAAATAAATTATTATTATTATACCATAGAGGTCACTGTTGTGCACTGCCTATTGATGCCTGTGATGCAACAGTGTTACAGAGTATCACGTACGTGTTAGCGCCTCATAATGCAAGGTATTCTAATTTGAGGATCAGGTGATTGGTGTTTAGCATTTATTATTTCCTCTATCTATATTGTCCTTCCTATATTCATTCAACACGCAAAAGCACAGATAAAATAGTTATGCTAAAACTTGGTCTCGATGGTGTAGAAACTAGATGATACATGCATACATGCTATAGTATAACGAGCACACGATTGCGCTGACTCGAACTATGTAAAAAAGTTCATACATGGTTAAAGATTGTGTCCCATAAAATATAAACGATTTCAAATACGACAAATCGAGTTATTTTGATTTAAAAACTAAACTATTAAACCGATTTCAATAAAATTTCTATGGGACCAAACTGGGAATACATCCTTTCAGATAAAAAACAATTTTTCAAATAGGTAAAAAATTTAAGAAGTTATGAGGTAATAAACAAAAAAAAATACAACCGAGAACCTTCTTCTTCTTGCAGTCGGTTGAAAATGTACGAAAATAACTTTGTTCGTCCCAAATGGGTCTTAATGGGACCCGGATTAATTTACTTTGTGAATAGTGTTGCACCATTACCTAGGATTTATTGGGAAATTAAACACAAAGTTTTGGATTCGTAACTTTACGTAAATTCTCGAGAAGGATGAAGAAATTATTGTTAAAATGTTTTTACGATAATTCAAAGAATTTACTATAGGTACTATTTGTTAAACCTGAAATTTGTTTTGAACATTTTAAATATGTAAGACATCATTACAGGAACCCGCCGACGAAGAGGCTGAGGAGCAGATTGAGACGGACATTATAAAGGACGGTGATACCAATGATATTGAACAGGTGAATAGAAAAAGTTTTATTTTTTATTTATTTAGAATTTCTTTTTTAGTTGTACCATGTTATCGGATAGAACGTCTAAATGTGTCATTATCATATCAGCCATAATTGCCACAAGTCTCCCCCTATAGGAGAGGCCGGGGGGGGGGGGGGGCTGTCGTAAGTTTCCTCGGCTGGCAAGTGCCCTGCTGCCAGTAAATGTGTCATAATTACCTTAAAAGTTTCTGTATGAATAACTTTATTTTTAGACTAACTGTGTAAACAAGCATCTATAGAACTGTTGTGTAATGGAATAATCAATCATTTATTTGTGTATATATATGGTATATGTATCTTTGTATTTAATTATGTAATTAAAGACCTAAATTTTATATCTTTATTTTTTTAATATATAAATGTGTTATACAAAAAATTTTGTTTGGATCACTATGATCACGACTCTGGAACGCGCTTCCTGATGCCATAAAGAGACTACCGACTAAACCGTCTTTCAAAAAAAGCGTTCACGCTCACTTTTTATCTTTATCCGAGCAGTAAGTGCTTTATATTATTCCCAAATTCGTGTATAATATAGTATATATCATATATGTGTAAGTATATTTGTTATTCATATATATTTATTCGTTCATATATGTAATTTTAGTATGTATGTATATCAATAATTAGTAGTACCGCATTCGAGTATTCTGACACTTCCCTATGGTTGACTGGGAGAGAATGCTTTTAGCATTAAGTCCGCCATGTACACATATTTGTACAATATATGTATATAAATAAATAAATGAATAAATAAATAAATAAATATGTTCTCCCGTTATTGGGCATACATTACCTACAAATAATGAAAGGTTTCGTATTTATAATATTAGTATAGAATTGTAGATGAAAGATTTGTTTATATTTATCATCATCAGAATCATATCAGGCCTTTAACTTTTCACTGCTCACTCACATAAGCCTCCCCCTTAGGAGGTTTTTCCAGTGTTTACCACGCTTGGCAGGCGGATTGACAATAGCAGTTAGGCTTTAGAGATGTTTTAAAAGGAATGCTGCTGCTCATACTTCGCCCTTCCTTAGTCGTCTCTTACGACATCCACGGGAAAGGAAGGGGTAGCCTATTCTATGCCAGGCCACACAGCCAATTATCTACAGGTCTATATTATTTATGTCTATTAATTTACTCAATTTATTTCTATTTATTTACTAAATTTATAACGACATCTATTGATATCGATGACCTATTCAATAAACTTAACAACTTTTTTCCAATCATAAAAAAACCAGATTTTTAGGATCACATTTGTGGTGTCTGGGCCCAATCAGTATACACTTTACGGCCTAAAAACCTAATCCAGAACACATATTTTTAATGTCCATCTTTTCTCACAATTTTGCTCTATTTTCTGGCACAAATCCAAAATACAACAATTGCAACACAAAGTCAAACATGGTGGTACATCAAAGTCATTTTAATTGACTGGTTAGTTGGGGCTTATGACATATGAAGACCGTTAAATAACTGTCAAAAGCGTCCGATTTCCTAATTCTGTTTCTTTCTTTAAAAATTCATAATTGTGCCATGAAGAATTTATTAAAATTAGACTCTAATATATTATTTTATAAATTTTTTTACATCACAAGAAATTACGGCAAACAAATTTGTTTCATTGTTGAGCTTTATTTTAACTTATTACTATTTTTAAAGTGACGTATCACGTAACAAATAATGGAAAAAAATGTTGTACCATTAAGTTTGAAGTAATCAGTAATTTTGAAAAAAAAAATGTTCATGATTATATATACTATAGAGGTAGTCAGAAGCAAGTACCAATCATCGTCATATCAGCCGTGGACAGTCCACTGCTGTATGTTCAGCATGCCCCATAAGATGTTTTTGCTAGTACTAGCCATGCGAGTTGGCAACCGCAATTAGGCTTTTGATAATGTTTTAAGAGAGATGCTGCTGTCCATCCTTCGTCCTTCATCCTGCCCAACCATCAAATTCCCTTAGTCGGTAAAGAAAAGTTGGCTCATTTTATGCCACGACCACACTAACTAACTTGTATATTAATTTATTTTATTATCTTACTTCTTATTAATATAAGAAAATTGTGGCTAGGTGTTTGTTCCGACATCACGCAAAAACTACTGCACCAAATTGGATGTATATTTTACATTTGTATTCCTAAAGGTGTAACATATTATAGTTTAAAATCTGGTGTTTGTTTTATCTTGATGCGTCATCTAGGAGTGATCAATTTAATTGATTTCTTCTAAAATCCGCGCATACGAGGTAGCTGAGGTACGAGGTACAAGGTACCAGAGGGAGACTTTGTACAAAAGTCGATTGCATGGGTACCTCTGTCCCATTCGTGTTTCAACCGTGAAGCAGTTGTGTTTGCATAGCTGTGTTTCGGTTTGAAGGGTGGGATATGGCGTGAGTTTACAGGGTACAGAGGAATAACACTTGAGTCCTCAGGAATAGCAACGCATGGGGGGTATCATGGGCGAAACAGTATACTCTGTTATGTTCATGGTACTGCTCATATCTATAGGCGACGGTTACCACTTTCCATCAGATGGACCGTCAGCTTGTTTGCCATTCTAAGTTGTATAAAAAAAAAAAAGCTGACAAAAAGCTAATCTATAATATCTTTTAAAAACGTTTCAACGACGAATCGATGTCGACGGATAGCTTTGACCCAAACGTGTTTTTTCCACTAAGTGCTTGCATCTTTATCGTCATCGACATCATCATTTCAGCTATTATCCGTCCACTGCTGAACATAGGTCTCCACCATAGACTACCATCAAGACCGGTCCGTTGCGTGCCTACATTTTTATTTAAATATTGGGTAAATTAAAATGAAATTGTGATTTATGGAGGCATAACAATAGTTAAACTTCGGAAAGGACAACGCATGAAGGGTAATATACCGTCACAGCACATTATGATGCGCTTGGTGCTGTTCATGTCTATAGGCGACGGTTACCACTTACCATCAATGGGTCCGTTAGCTTATTTGCCATTACAAATTACATTTTATTTTCTTTACACTAGGTGCCAGATTCCACGCACGCGGGCGAAGACGACTACGAGAAAAGCGGTCGTTCGCGTGTCACTATGATCACGCCAGCTCAGCTGGAGGCGGTGTCATCCAAACTGAGTGATTGGAAGAAACTTGCCGTGAAATTAGGATACAAGCCTGATGAGATCCAGTATTTCGAAACTGAAAACGCCACGGACGCATCCAGAGCTAAGAATATGCTTCAACTGTGGTTTGACGATGACGAAGATGCATCAGTCGAGAATCTCCTGTACATCATGGAGGGTCTAAAATTGGTAGAAGCGTGTGAGGCACTGAGAAATATAAAATGACGATTACTAAAACGTAGTTGTAAGAAGAAACAAGTAAAGTTTAATTTGTAACGACTTGTTTTATTTATTTTTTGTGGTTTTTTGAAAAAATAAAGGGATACAAGGGATTAACATAGAGTGTTACTTCCATATATAGGTTTGTAGATTTTTTTTTTATTGAATTATGATGGAATAATGCAATAAAAAAATCTACAAACCTAACTAACTCGCTAACGATTAAACACTGGCGGAGTAGAACTGGAGCGAAACACTGAGCGATAGTAGGTGAGAATGAAAAGACAGTCAGCCCATCGAGGTGAATACACCTGGAATTCAGCACAATGGTTTCCTGGACCGCTATAACTGCTGGCCTGATAAGGTATATTGCTAGTAATGGCAGTGATAATCCGCATTACTATCAATCCCTTCCCCTCAAATCTAGTTTTGTAGGTTTTTTTTAATGGAATGGTAGCCCCACCTGCGCTATCGGTATACACTGCTAGGGCACCAGTGATGGATGTTAGGTGATGATGAAGCAGGTCAGTTAGCCCATCGTGATGAATTCAAAAATAATTAATCAGGATAGTTTCCAGGGGGAACCGTATGGAGGTCGACCTGATAGGGTATATTGTTAACAATGGGATTGCAAATTTCCATTACTAACAATCCATTCTTCCTCCAGTTTCGTAGGTTACATAAATATACTTTTACGTTCTGAGATATCTATCAAGTTTGATATACTTAATGTTGACCATATATTAAATAAAATCGATTGAATCGATTGAAATAAACTTGATTTAACTATTTAATATACCGTTTTTGTGCTGTATTGACACAAATTTATAATTGTATAATAAACTTTTGTTTGGAAAAAACAACAGGTGATAGAGTCGTAAATAAAAATTCATCATCATTATATCAGCCGTTTATTGTCCATTGCTGAACAAAGGCTTCCCCATAAGGGAAGTTTTGCCAGTAGTTGCCAAGCTTGACAGGCATATTGGCAACTGCAGTTAAGCTTTGGTGATAATTTAAAAGAGACACTGCTGCTCACCCCTCGACTAATAATTTCCCTTAGTCGCCTCTTATGACTTTCACGGGAAAGAAAGGAGTGGCTCATTCTATACCGGGACCACACAGCAATTAAGGAATGTAAATAAAAATTACTATTCAAAAACGCTTATAAATAAGTTTCCTTGAATAAAAAAAAATATTCTTGTTCTTAAATATAAGTTATTTTAAAGTAAAATTATCATTTATAATGGCCCGAACTACCTCTGATGACTATAATCATAGTTTTCTTTTCTTTTTTTCAATCAACTTTAGAAAAAAGAAGGTTTTCAATTCGGTTGCATTTTTTTTTAATTATGTTTGTTACTCTATAACTCTATCAAATTATAAATCGGTTTGGATTTTTTTTACCTGATTATTATATACTTACAGATTTTTATTAAAAGCGTTGTAGTTTAATTTTTAAATCAAAATAACCGGTTTTTAATTTTAATTAAGAATCCGCTTCTCGTGGTTCCAAAACATTTTCATTATTAGAAGTACTCCGAACTCAAGACCCAAGTGATAGTAAAATAGACCGATCCACTTTCCATTCAATGATGATGTTGAGGAACTGTGACTTTTACAAGAACATAATCCAATCTGCTGTTCTTTTGGATCTCAGATTCAGCTTGTTGGCCCGGAAAGAACGTGCGGACTGTATTCAGTGAGATGGATATTGAATGAAATTGAAAATTGATCATTAAAAATAGCAAGTGTCTCTGGACCGTTCCTTGTGGCAATATATGGGGGAGGTCTAAGTTCAGCAGTGGACGGCAGCAGTGATGAATTTAAAATAGAACTAGTTATGTTAACTAAAACTACCAAATTAGTTACTTTGAATAATTTACGAGTAAGATTAATTGAAGGCAAAATTAATCAATCGATTTGTTTATAAGCAATTTGTTTTATAATCAACGCTTCACTTTCTTTAAATGAAGTGATACATTCTTAACTATCAATAATCATATTTCGATACTACTGATCGAAGTTCATCATTTATAGAATTGCAATAAATCACCCACGAAAAATTGGCTCAACCCACAGAATTTTTCCATGGTAACGCACATTAAAAAGATTTATAAAACCATTCAACAATGTCGGCCGCGCCGAAATTATAACTTGCACGCATTTCCTCATCCCGGACTGACTCACGGCGTGCCCAAAACAGAACTTATTACTTACAAATTAAATACATGTCCAGCTATGAAGAAATCAACCCATCTGTAACAGTTTTAAGGCACACCACGATCACTCCTGTAAAGTTGCGTGACTCTGGAGCGACCAAAGTAACATGAGCTGCCACGTCTCCCGTTTATTCTAGACTAAGAGGCGGTTACGAAGAAGTTACAACTACTCGGCGTGTCAGTGTACCCTGGGCGCGTGCTACCGCTCCGGTGTTTACAGAATCGCGGAATAGTCGCTGCACCGAAATTAGTACGAAACGAATGCGTCAATGGGCAGACGGAGCGCGGTTAGTGGTGCGCGCGCGTTCGCTCCTAAAATATTTATATTTTTATGATTCGATATGCTCTCGGGATTTTTATATTAAACATATAACAGGGTGGGATCAGGAGTCTATGTGACGTGCGTGCGCGCAGGGGTGGCGCGAAAACGTGACAAGGATTTGTGTGTTGTGCCAACACAGTTGTAAGTAAAAATCTTTGTTTTGTCCTGATCTAAGCATGCTTCTATTATGTTACTATGTTGGTAAGAAAAGTTCAAAATTTATGCTAACTAGTTCACCAAATTAGATGAATAAAAGGACCTCACCAATTATACTCTATGTATATATTAACATCTACATTGTTAAATAGCACTAAAATATATCTTTTAAATTTGAAATATCTTCTCTTCGCTATGTAACAGTTATTTTTGTACATTTCAGCACTTTTCATAGGTATTATGCCAAGCCATAAACTTTTATACGTTATGATCTCACTAAATCACCAAGCCACCTATGTATGATACAAACCCGATTTACTGCAATATATTACTTGTATAGTATGGTATTGAATGTAGAAAGTATGATTAAATATATGTACATACTTATATACAACGGTATGATAGTTTGCACATTATGTAGAATCAACTCCAGCTATTTCTATTAACTTTATCCAAAAATAATCATTTTAATGTCGTGATCAATATCATCATTGATGTCTATTCAGTAAAGATTGAAAATAGGTAGATGTACCCTAGTCTTCGCTTGTCTGGTAACAAAGGAAGAAGAATGAATCTGCTCCGAATGGCTTGAATAGCGTTATGAGAAACTTTCGTCAGGATTAGGTATTTATATCCTAAGTTAAAATCGCAGCTGGTCTAAGGAATATAGTCGAAATGCGAGTATTGCAGAAAATCTGTGGAAAGAAAAGGTCTGTATAGACGACGGCTTGAAAGGTCTAGAGAAGATTTTTTTAGTTGTTTTGGAAATGGAACAATTTAAAATCGCATCGTCTAAAAAAACGCACATGAAGAACCTATTTTTTCAAACCACGAAGACGACAAACAAGTATACAGCCCGTCTCATGGTAAACAGTCATTGTAGCCTATGGACGCCTGGAGTATCACATGCACGTTGCCGACCCTGAAGAAAACTTAACCTTACCCTTTTTGACGAACGCCATATTTCTCGACATAGGGTTTTCTAATCTAGACTTTGTAGTCTCTAGGAAAACGCTCACGAAAATAAAATCTCACGAAGAACAAAACGTATTGTGTTCTAGCCTGTCTGTTAGTAAAACAACCAAGTAGTCTGAAAAGTCTTCCTTGTCAGCTCTAAAGTTGGTCTCCGTGTTTTTCAACGCGCACTAACGTTCAAAGATAAATAGTTGGACAATGATAGCAAAAATAATTGAAAAGGGCAGACTGAAGCATGCTATGTTGGCGTGAGAATCTTAAATTTATTTTTATGATGTTGGTACAGTTATGTGGGAGGAAGAATACAAGACTTGAATAACACTCAATAATATTAGATTACATTTATTCGATTCAGATATAGATATTTTGCGAAATATGGCTCTAGTGCTCAGCAGTTCAACATTGACTACCCTGTTTTTCTCTCTCTTTACTTTTGACTGACGTTGTCTGAGAAGTACCTGCATGAGCTAGATATCACGAGAGATTTAATATATATTAAAGTAAAAAAGTGGCGTGTTGTTTCGGCCTCTTTCCTGTGGGCATTAAGAGGGTACTAAGGAAGACTTTTTACAAAAGTCGATTGCATGATTACCTTTATCCCATTCGTGTTTCTACCGTGAAGCAGTTGTGTTTGCATGGCTGTGTTTCGGTTTGAAGGGTGGGATATGGCATGAATTTACAGGGTACAGAGTAATAACATCTGAGTCCTCAGGAATGGCAACGCATGCGGGGTATCATGGGCGAAACAGTATACTCTGTTATGTCCATGGTACTGCTCATATCTATAGGCGACGGTTAACACTTTCCATCAGGTGGGCCGATACTTTATGGTCGAGGGATGGACAGCAGTATCCCTCTTAAAACATTTTCAAAACTTAACAGATTTTGTCAATCCGTCAGCCATTCGGTAGATGGATTGGCATTATCCCCCCCTTTGAGGAGGAAGCTTATGTTCCGCAGTGAACAGTAAATGGCTGATATAATAATATAATAAGTTACAAAAGGAATGAGAACCAAAATTAGAAGGAGAATTTGTCTAAAGTTATCTATCTTATATTCTGCTATTAAGTAGCTTGCTTGAATGCTTGAATTTGATTTACAGGCCACAAGGCATTCAAAGTCTAACCCTTCAGTGAGACATAGCAGCATAATTACAAATAAATATGTGACTAAAGTTACTCATGTCACTAGGCTTAATAATGCACGAGTGATATTTCTAATGTTGTAAGCATTCATGCGCTACGGTATTCATTTGCTATCACATGGGTTATGAAGTTTATTGTGTTTTTATTCAAAAACGAATAGTAAACAATGCTCATGTGTAAAAATGTCGGTTTAATTAATCTATTAAAACTACTACCGTTTAACTGTCTAGCTGCCAT